ATGAGAAATCGGAGGTTGAAGCGGTGAAGAGAAAGGGGATTGACATGTCAACGTTTAACCCATTCACAATTTGTAGAATTTCCGATGTTCCTCAGCAAAGTGATGGGTAAGCTGTGTTCATTTAAAGCACTTTGTGCATGTTGTCAGTATGTGCACTTCTAACTTCTGTACTGCTCGGGTGGACAGTACCTCATGTGGCATTATGATCGTCAAATTTATTGAGTATCTCAGTGTTGGCATTCCTTTTAATACCATTGACCCAGCCAAGTTTGGCTACTACCGATTGAAGCTTGCAATCGAGGCTCTCAGGGGAGAGGCCTATGTATGAGGTAAAAGTCTCAGGGGAGACTGCCTTCAAAATTGCATAGTTATTTACCTACTTTGAATTATGTCGTATGTACAGAGTTGTGCTTTCAGTCTTCATTTCAGACAACTTACAGTATGTTGGCATCTTTTCCAAGTTTTATGAATACGAATGCCGACTGTTGTTAATCAAAGTTTAGGGTATTGGGGATTTCAACACCGTAGATGGTAATGTACATGTTTTGCAACTGGCATCTGATTTAAGTATGGCATATGTTCTGAACTCCGACTGTGTATCATCCAAAACTTGTATCATGTTGTTTATGAAAGGTGAATAGAATTACTTATTAAAATTGCTCCAATTATTAAGACGTTCAAGTTTCCCTTTCTATGAATGCTAACTCTCGGCACATTTGGCCTTCTTATGCAGGTGGTCCTTCCAGGTTCATACCCATATTGACATCACAGATTCTGTACATGTATGTCACAGAAGTTGCAGGCTGTTTCATCGTTTTGTCAATCCTGAAAATGAATGCGATGTTTTGCCTTACATGGCACCATTTTTGACTTTGTGTACAGATGGCGATAAAGGGTGGTGATTTTGTAGTATGTTGCAGGGTGTTAATTTCTGTAACGTAATTCGCCAGTACTTGTATTCCATAGTAGAAGGGCTGTACTCACGTTTCCTTTCTGACAATGCGGTTATTGACCTTCTGTACTTGACATGTTTTGTACAGGCATATAACAAAATATCCTTCATTTGGCCGAAGTTGCAGCCATATCAATTTTTTGTGGGGCACCCACATTGTAGCCGTTTTGTTTTGTGTGGTTCGGTGTAATACTTACTTTCGTATATTAATTATTTTCATCCGATCTGGACGGAAATGTTTGGGGTCGTTAGCCGAAACAATATCCCTAACTCTCTGCTGGGGCAATTACAAAGTATTATAAGATTTGATCAAGACATTTGATCAATGATTTGATCAGGGAATTTGTCAGCAAATTGGATGACTCTGTCAATTTGATGAATTTGGGAGTGGCTTATGTTAAAACCAAGAAATCTAACATTGGTTTCAAACAACTTCATTTTCTTAGCAGAGACAACTACACCATTTTGGCTAACTTTTTTAAGCAACTTATGCAAATGTTTCCATTCATGTTCTATGGACTCAGAGAAGATAACAACAGCATCAATGTAGACTATAGAGAAATGACTATGCCAAAAAGCATTAGGAAGATCACAACAAATATCAAACTTCATTTGTTCTTCAAATGTTCGAATTTATATTATTTTAAACTTAACTTATTCTTGAAGAGATTTCAACTATCGATCTTTGTTTTGAATTATACTAACTGTTTTTGCAACTATATTTTTTCCAAGGATTCTGCAGTTAGGTAACTCAAGCTTAGTTCAAAAAATCAAATTTGAGTCTTTCTCCTACATAAATAGAACTAACACCATCATGTTCAACCTAGAGCGGATATACTAAACCTATAAAGGGTAATCCTAATATTACTTCATCGGTGATGTTTTTTACTAAAACAAAGGCAGTTTTAAAACAGATTTTATTTTAAATTTTAGCTTTTGGAATCTCATAATTTAACTGTAAGGCTTTTCCCGACGCAGTACTTAAAGACTCTGTGGATTTCTTATAATACTTTGTCGGGAAAAGGCCTTCTTCAATACAGTTAAGGTCGGCTCCTGAATCAAAAAGTGCGACTGTGTGAAACTTATAAATGTGGACAACTATTTTCACTGTAGAATACCACTTTCTAAAATTCACTTGTTTTACTAATTTGAAGGGCTTGATCTTTATTAGACAGCTCATCTTCAAAATTGGTTGGACTTTCATATTGACTATTAGACGCAGAATCATCCTTTTCTAGACGAGTAATTAAATTCTGTTTGATTTCATAATTCTCAGTTTCAACTTTATGACTCATTTACTTTAACTCAATGATTTCCTTGTTGACTACTTTTATGTCAGATTGTAGGTGTTGAAGGGTGACTTCTTTTCTCTTGCTAAACTTTTCTACTGTTGTATTTAGACTTATTTAATTAGGGATAGTTGACGGACTAGGACTTTCTTGGCCAATGAGTTTTCTTGGTTTCTTCAGGTACTCCGATTTGAGCTCAGGATTTGATACTTTACTTATTAATTCTATGAATAACTCTTCTTGCTCTTCTTGCTTAGTAAGGACTATAAGTGATTTTGAATTACAACAGTTATCTTGGCAACAAAATTGGACTCCAGCTGAACTAGACTGGGAATCAGAGGACTGGTAGGGTTCTGACTCAGAATTGTTGACTAGTGTTTCTATCTCACTTGTTTCAGAGTCTCACATCTCTAAACCTATAATTAAATTGTCTTTTTCCTCATTCGTGATTTTCAACTGTTTCATAGTATCTTTGGCTTATGCACTCTGAGCCATAATGTCCGAACTTTTGACATTTTTAACATGTAACTTTGCTATTGTCTTCACTTGTCATAAAGTGACAATGTTTCGGTGGTTTGGACCTATTTTTCTTAGGGTAAACTTTCTTTTTCCTATAGAGCTCATGATTATATTTATTCCGTTCAAAGGCTTGTTTTCTTCGTGAGTAATGAAGACTTTTCCTAATGTGACTCGGGTAATTGGACTTATTTTTCGTAGACGGAGGTACTGACGTAAGACCATATTGTTGACATAAGTTTCCTAACTCATATTTAGCAGATTTGTGCTCAGATTGTATTTGTCGACCAATTTTCATAGGTACCCACATTTTCATACCAACTTGGTTAATTGTACTAATTATATTTCCATAGGTTAAATTATTCCAATCAATTTGACCTTGCTCATTGCTGAACTCAGTTCTTCTTTTATGGCCAAATAAGTTTGGAAGAGCGGTAATGAATTTTTCTTTCCAAAACGGTTGATTACTATCTTCACGAATCATGACTCTACAAATTAAAATATCTGTATACCATCTAAAATCAGACAGCTTAGAACATCTCAGATTACTCAGTTGATCAAGTATTCTAGCATTAGTATGAGTATGGGTTCCAATAAAATGCTGAATTATAGTATAGAACAAAGTATTAACACCATATTCATCAAACCTCTTCCATTACATCCATAACCTAACCACCTTTAACCTGCCAACTGTAGATGAACAAACCTCCTATTACATTTGGAACACAACAAATAAATGATCATTCCAAACATGAAAACAGAGACCCAAAACCATGGGTTTTTCATCTTCCCTTTTCCAGCATTTCTTTCTTCTTCAAAGCGGTTTATTTTCCTAAGTAAGCCTAGAATTATGTGCTTCGATCTGTCACACATCTCTGGGTCAGCCCATTCCCAAAATGTACATCCATTCCTCTGCATAAACGGAAACAATATTTCCGTTACAAAGAGGCGCATCATCACAATTGGAATCCACGAAAATGCCAAATTTCAGGTCAAACTTACAGAGAAATAAACTTACCCTTGCACATACTTGAAACCTCCTTCCAGGATGAGAAATCGTCCAGGATGTATGCGTTTTGACAACATTCCCACAGTAGCACAGCCGTGAACATACTGAACTCGCGTCTTCCATTTCCCACCGAGACATTGAAGGCGACTCTTGAGAGTGGCATGGAGACCTCACTGACTCAGCTGCACCGCTACGGAGGCTCCTCCTACTCATCTCCTTGTTTTCTCTGTATGAATTGTTGTTCAACTTGTGCGCTATTTGGAGAGGTCAAGAGGCTCATCTTGTGGTCAATGGGTTTCACTTGCATGTGCGAAATTTGGATAATAAAACCGTGTGAGCGCACCAACATGAAACTTGGAGTTTATGGGGTGGTTTTTATACAACATATCAAACTTTACCATAGGCAACACTGAGGGCCTAATCCAATTGGAATGTTATTCATACCCTTATTTTGGAATCCACATACGGCATGGTATACACTTAGAAATACAGTACATGTTAATTCTTCGTTGCGTGTATATTGGTTTATTATTGACGTATTGGTGTTATAGTGCAACTATATTGGTTTGCTATTGCCTCTTTATTGGGTTTGTAATGCTCTTTATTGGTTTTCTAATGCATGATATTGCACGTATATTGGCATTGCAATGTAACCTGTGCATTATTTTCGGTTGGTACTGCTATTCAAAATTGTTTGTTTTATGCTGTCTTCAGTAATGGTTTTGCAATGTCATTTGACAAGTGTACAAAGTTGAACTATGTGGAAGGTAATTACGTTATAATTCAGATTTGAAATGAATGCATCCAAATTACATCAACTGCTGTTTTAAAACTTCCAGCATACTTAATACAAAGAAGGCAACAGGAACAATCAAAATACAAAGGCCTCCTCAAACTGGCAGAATACAAAATAAAATAACATCCCAGCGTGAACTTACATAAAACAACATATTAAAAAAACAAAACAACACAAAAGGTGACCACAAACTTACTTAATACAATGTTAACAAAGATGGCACCTGAAGATTACATTATACATATCAAAAAAAGAGGCCCCCTCAAACTTACCTAATACAAAATAAATAGATAAACAGGGCACCTCATCCGCACATAATAAAAAAAGAGGCCAAGTCATACTTCCATTCCACTGTACAAAGTTTGTCCTAAACCGTTAAAATGGTCATATTACAAGTCATATCTTCTGTCTGTGGATACATTTTGAGTTGCATACCCTTCAAATGAGGCGACCGCGACCCATTAAATTCATGACCCCTCCCACAGTGATGTCCCACTTTCCTTCTGCATCCACAATTTTTGCAAACTTCCTAAATAGTTCGAAACCAGATTGCAGTTGTTTTTGCTTCAACTGAGCCATTTCGTCAGATTCCTTGAATACAAGAACTGCAGTGGCAGGGGCATTTTCAATTTTAGCTCTGACAGCCTTTATATGTAGGAGATGCATCCGGGCTTCATAACGTGGCCAAATTGTGCGGTTTTTTATGATACCCCACCTAGCTTGGCCCTCTTTAATTTTTAACACTATGTCTGCATGGAGATTTTTCCAGAACATAGTATTGGCTCGACATTGCTGCAGTCCATGGACCCAGTCTTCAGTGTCTTCTGTTGCTGATTAGGCAGGTGTGTCATTGTCCCCTCCTTCAATAATGGCAAGGGTTGGGTTTGGTGTGGGGTTTCAGTCCATGGATGTTGGGTATTTACTGCGGTTTGGTGTGGGCATTAGTTTGCCCAAACTGGAAGTAATTGTGATGTGGGTGAAATTGTTGCGCAAAGGGGGGGTTTGACGGAGTAAATGTGATGGAAATGTTGGGTGGATGCAGCTGGGTTACAATTAAATAGTGGGAGGTAATAATGAGCAGGAGTAAATGACAGTCAGCAACTGGCGGGAGTTATTGGCGGGAGTTGTTGGCTCCAATTTTTGGCGGGAGTGGTTGGCTCCAATTGTTGGCCAACACGTTACACTTGGGGTTTGTGTAATTAGGTTATTGGTTGGTGTTTGTTGTATGAGACCTTTGTTGTATTTGCAAATTATTCCTTTTGTCCTCTTTGACCAATTTCCCTCGTGTATGAGGTACAAATGTCCCAAAAGTACAAAATGTCCCAAATTTATAAGTACGGTCATTTCACAAAGTACAAATGCAGATGTTTACGAAAAAGGACCATGAAATTATATGTGTTTCGAATTTCTTTGTTGCTGTCTTCCAAATAACTGATGTAGATGAGTTCCATTTTTTAATATATCGGTAAAATCCGAATTGTGAATTTTGATACTTGCAAATAAGTTCATGTGTATTCCGCCCACTTGACGTTAACTTCCCCTTGAAATGTGGGTCGGGACTGTATATGATTGTTTTCGTGTTATTTAATTTTCTCATATGGACAACATATAGTATTGTCATTTGTAGGGAATACTGAATAATTTATAAACATTTATGTATATTTCGTAAATTGATAATTAGGGAACTTGGTCGTCATTTGTAGTATTACTATGTCAAGACCTTGAATATTAAGATAGTATACAGTTTTTTAGTAAGGTTGTGTTTATTGTGTATTCACAGTTGTTTAGGTGTGTATATTTGTACGGCCGATTATTCCACCGTTGACATACCTTTATTCGTATTTGGTAAGGCTATAATGGGCATCTTATAATGCTCTCATTAATTACAAAGAGGACAGGGTGCAGACTGACCTATAATGACCAATTTGAAATAAATATAAAACACACAACTTCCTCTATATAAGAGGGTTTAACGTACTCATTGAATTCCATATCAAACATAGTACTCCATATATAGCAGAGAGCAAAGCTATACTAAAGCTCACCCTATTGTTGGTTACGAAGAAAAAAAACTGCAGACTGAACCTAATGTTAAGTGTTTTGCACGGTGCATGTGTGCAATTTCCCCATCCATAGTTGAAGATGTCAGACGTAATCCCTCCGAACGACCATGGCAGTTACCCGGGAGACCAGCCATGGCATGTCCCTTTCCCATCTCCACCTGGGACTCCAAATAACGATCCCACGTCATCTGGAAGTGAGGCTAACAACAATGATCCACTAGACAAAGTTGCTGAAGTGAAGCAGGACCTCCAATATTTGTGTGCGGCTACGGATTGGTGGGAAACGAAATGTGATATTCATGGCCAGGTGATGGGAAACTTGACGAACAAGCTGAACAATGCATATGCTAGAGAAGTGAAGCAAACAATGAAAGCCAAAAGTCGGAGGGCAAAGTTAGAGTGGTTGAAGGTCAAATTGGAAGAAACAAAGAAAGATGCTGTGCAAAAATTCACTGAATCTGAAGAATTTAACCATGAAATGGTTGAATCTTTTAACAATGGGTTCGAGATGTTCCGAGATTATGCTTCCGTCATCTCACCAGACTACAATTGGAGCCAAATAGATGTTGCTAGTGTCTGGCAGGTGCTGAATAGTTATGCCCAAGGAATGGCTGATCATAGCCTTGTGCATGCAGCGAGGAAGAAGAACAAGGACATAGATCTAATGATGGACCTGTAACCATTTGGATTTTGGTAGGGTCTGTGTAGGTGGGTCAGGGTAAGTATGGGTTCAAAGCATTTTGTGGACACGAAATGAATTTTGTATGAATGTGGTGCCTTGTTTATGCCATCCTCTTATTCTCACGGTTGAGTGGCAAATTAGTAAGTTTGTATAAATGTAAAGTGTTGTGTACTGTATGTGTGCTTATTGTATGTTTATTGCCCTCATATTGGAAGCGTAAAGTACTTATATTGTTCGTGTATTGGTATATTATTGTCTCATATTGGAATCGTAGAGTACTTATATTGTTGTTTTATTGTTTTTGTATTGCTATTGTATTGTCTCATATTGTGATCGTAGGGTAGGTATATTGTGCTTTTATTGATGCTTTATTGATTGGCACCATAAAATATAGCTTCTCCATTTGAGTAATGGTAAAGAGGTACTGTAGCAAAGGTCGTAACGATGGCGGGTTTAGGAAAGTTTGGTGGTTCTGAAGCACGGAAATATCCATGGAAAGATCGAAAAGATATCGATTCCATACAAACCACGGACAATATACATACATGCAAATTTTTACGTGGAACAAAAATACAGTTATGAAAGGAAGAATTAAATACGAAATAAAAAAAAGGAGGGTGTTCATTTAAGTAAACAAGCAACAATTTGAAGGGATAGTAATTTCAGTACTTATAATGAACCTTCGAATTAAAGAAGCAATAACATGAAATGGATTAAATAGGACAGAAATGAATGACATCAAGTAATGAAATATTTGAGCAACAATATAGAACACTAAGTAAATAATTTTCATTTTGCAAAACAGGTTCGAACACTTATAAATACCAGAGTCCATAGTCAGTAATCAAAAAGCGATGACTGGCGTTGTGGTTAAGTAGCTCAGAACCTAGAAGGGGGGAAGGGTTTCATCCTCTGTGTGTGTGACTTCAAGTGAATAATGCTTTTTATTTAAAGTTCACATAACAATAGATCGCGATATTATAGATAATATCGCGATCTGTTGACCATGTGTAGCTGCATGTATACTTTCCCAAAAATTCTCTATATATTCTGTTCTATGGCGATGAGAACAATGAGCAATCATGAAGTACTACCAGTATCACAGTAATTGCGTAAGCTTTGCATTTGAAGGAGTTTTATGTACGAGATGCAATTGTAGTTAGCCTTCTAGGCCCTTTCATTTTGGACGCAACAAAAGGACAGCAGCATGACGATAGTGTGAATATACAGACAGGAATACATGACGTTGTCTAGGAAAGGAAAGCAATTTATGCGAATTTGACTACAATCACAATAGAGAACACCAAATCAAATTCAATTCAATTTCAAATCAAAGGTACATAACAAACGAACAGAAATGCTAATCTGAAACACACATTGGCTAGTGGAACATTGTTAATTTACAGCTGGTTTCACTGTGGTGATGGCACTGTATGTTCACCAATTTCTACTAATAATAGGCTCTCATTGTTACCTTGTTCCATATGCTTCACATGACCGTTGAGTGGACCGACTTCCATCCCTGCAGCATCACCGAAGCTATTCATCAACTTCGCAGTTGACCAAAACAGAGGTAGAAACTAAACAAGTGTAACATCTACGCAACGTGCTGCTTGTTGGTGAGAGGGACAGATTGTTTGCATGTACTTCGGTAGTGGCCCTTCACACCACACCTTGAGCATTTTTTTTGACGGGACTCCTCTCCTTTAGAAGCTATTCTTTGCGTTTTGCGACGGCCCGGCATAACCTTACAAAGAGGAGGGAGGATTTTGACCTTCTTCAAATTTTCGGGAATAACCCATGTGCCTTCAGGTGGTACAAGATAAATAGATTCAGCATATGCAGCTGCCCATGTAGCTCGTGTATAATAAGAAGAGGCAAAGGAGTAGGGGTTCAATTTCAAGTGCCGACATACCACAATAGCGTGCTTGCACGGGAGTTGCTCCAAGTCAAACTTCCTGCATGTACAACTACGGTTTTGCAAGTGCACCAGACCGTTCAAATCACCATCCAGAACATTATACTCGACCTCATTGATTTTGACCACATTCATCCTTGACGCAACGTCTAACCTCTTCCTTAACTTAATTTCCCCTAAATCAGGGCACAACATAGAATGAGATTTCATTGCTAACTCTCGACGTTGCCTAAACCAACAGACAAGTAGATTTGTAATTTCGTCAATCAAGTGTAGCACCGGAAGCATCCTTGCAAACCGAAGAACTGAATTAATGGACTCCACAATATTCGTTGTCATCACATTATATCGTCGTCCATCACAATGGGCCCGAGACCACTTCTGGACGCCTGCACGTAGTAAATAAGTTCGCACTCGGTCATTGTTTATCCTGGAAAAGTGACGATTGAACTCCGCTAGACGATAAGACTTAGCTGCCCTTACAAAATACCCCAATATCGGATCCCGCTGCTTCAACTTAAATGAGGCTTTGATATTGCCTTTCAAGTGATAAAAGCAAATACCATGGCTTGCCCCAGGAAAAACTCTACGCAACCCATTCTGTATGCTAACCTTGCGATCTGATATAACAACGAGATTCGAGCAATCACCAATTGCACAATGTAGTTTTCTCAAAAACCACTCCCAAGCTGCATCCGTCTCCAAATCTCCAATCCCAAAGGCAACAGGATATATGTTCCGATTTCCATCAAATGCGGTCGCAACAAACAAAACACCTCTATACTTGCACTTCAAATGAGTAGCATCAACAGCAATCACGGGCCGCATTGACGACTTAAATCCTCGTATGCATGCACCAATTGCTATAAAAAAAATATAAGAAGTGATCAGCTGCATCAGTCTCAATGTATGTCAAAGTTCCCAGATTTGTACGCTCCAATTCATAACAATAGGAAGGGAGAAGGGAATACGACTCTTCTGCAGACCCTTTAATTCTTTTGAAAGCTAACTCTCGGCTTCTCCACGCTGTAGAGTAGCTTATGCTCACACCGAAATTTTGTTTCACATCTTTCTTGATATCAGCTGCTGTATAAATGCTGCGCGAATTTTGAAATCTCCACTTAACACAGTCAGACAGCAATTCAGTCGTAGCTTGAGGATGATGACTACTTATATACGTTGTATCACATTCATGAAGTGGATCGTATTTAACAACCTTAAACTCATGTAATCCAACTTTATATGCTCGAACTTTCCAAGGGCAAGGAAGCTGCCAACAGCGAACACACAACCGATGCTTCCCAGATTGGACAGTTCTCAATCGAAAGTGGCCTGTAATAGCTGCTAAACTAATGGTTTTTAAAAGGGCAATCTTATTTGGAAAAACTTGGCCAACCTTCAAATTTGCTTCCCAATTTATGCACGAAACGCCTCCACCATACTGAATATATTCCAAACTCTGACCATGCTTCAAATCACCCCGACTTGTATGCATTTCAGTCGAACTTGATTGTCGGGGAGGTTCAGATTGCACCTGTCTACATTGCACAGTGGACGGTTTGACATTGCTGTCCTCATAAGGATGCAGAATCGGAGCAGACTGCGGTTCCTCTTCGTTGCTAGGTTCATTGAAATCAGCAACTATGTTTTCACCACTTTCAAAATTCACTTCTTCAACCCAATCACACCAATTAAAATCATTCCCACCATTTTCAGTTTCATTGTCCCGAATTACCACATTTCTTTGTTCCACAACAAAGTCAGCAGGAGCATTGCTACTCTCAACGCTTACAATGCCATTGCACCCTTCAATACCATGACCTTCAATATATTTTAAGCTTGCTACTAAAGGGGTTACTTTAGAGGCCATAACATCTGTGTTGTACTTTACAAAATATTTAACATCATCATTGTCTTCAACCCTTATATGCTTACAGACAGATGAGGATACAGGAACTGAATATTTCAGTGTGACAATATATTTCGTGGGATTTGCATCCATGATCTTATAAATGCGCTGAACAAGGTCGGAAAACGTTACGTTCCGTGACACTATTGTGCCTTTAGCCTCCCCACCTTCGTAACTCTCAATGTTATCCTTCTTAACCCAACTTCCATTGTAGCATACCAATATTCCAACAGTATCCATTTCTGCAAATAACATAGATAATTACTACAGCAATGAATAAAACTAAAAAAGATACATTCAAACAAATAAAAACATACACAACAATCATTCCACTACACATATCATTTTATAAATCTTCAAAACTCAAATTCTAGCTGCTTCAACAAGGAACTTTTATTCATTTCTGTCTTTTCTCTGATTTTGTACATAGCTGTGGGTTCCAAGTTATTAACAAACTCACATAAACATACCATGGCAGCAATATGAACCCTCTAACCTCTAAGGGTTTTCAACAAATGTAAACAACTTCAACAAAAGGCTCAGGTTGTGATACAGAACATATTATGTGGTATAAGCTCAATTACCAAATTGGAAACCAAAACACACAAACTTTACTTCTTACCAAAACAAACCCAGAATGCCAATAAATTCCCCACATTAGCATCTACATTCAGCCTAAAACTACCCTAACAAACCTACTTTTAGGCCAGACAAAGTTAACATATGATTTTTCTGTGTGCTGTTATTTTGCCCATTATCAAACACATTGCACTACATTATACAAGCATTCGGTCAATTTTAACCAAAATTCAAGTTTACCACATACATCCCACTGCAGATAATAACACAAACTATGAATTTCAACATATCATAACGCCTTCAAACTGAAAATTTAAGCTCTTCTGCCCTTCTGTGGTGAAAAGGGGATGCACGATTTTATAATACACATACACTACCAAACCAATATCTGAACTCACCTCCGTTCACAACGACGCCGGAAGTCGCCACTTTCACTTCTCCGTGGATTTGCAACAGTCACTTTGATCTGGAGGTCAAGAATGGAGGCGGTGCGTTCCGCCGGCTTCGCTACGGTCAAACTAGGGTTCGAAAGTTTAGGACATCTGGGTTGTGACTATGGATGGGTTGTGAACTGGATTGCTCAGTGCCAAAATGTCTCGCAACCTAGAGTTCCCCCATTTTTGGCAAACTGCGAAAACAGAGAAGAAAGAGGTGCTAAAGGGTTGATACATCTGCTTTTATATGGAGGGCACTTCGGTCATTTCACGTCCCCAAGTGATTATATTAGAATACAATTTGTAGCCTGATTATTTCAGCACACTATTTCTGATTTGTGATTACACCAGCTTATTTCCCTATAAGCTAATAGAATCCTTTCACCAACTCTAAAGTAATTTCTCAAATCCATAAATCAACTTACATTTTACTTGCATGAACTATATATAAAACCAAACCTTTTATACATGAAAGTCATACTTGCAACCGTTCGCATAATGCATGAATACTGCTATCACCCACCAAGGGGTATATGGAACATATAAATTCATCCGAAGGCAACCGATATATTTTCTAAAGGCAAAGGGTGATGGGGGAAACTGGCTAACTACCTGTGTAGATAAATTGGGCAGGTGGCTAAGGATCCTGGCCAACCCTGTGCAGATAACATGAGCAGGGTGGCAATCAATATCCTGGCCAAACACATATAGAGTAATCTCAATGTAGGCACATGCAAATCACTAGAAGCAACTGGGGGATGGGGGAAATTGTCTAACCACCTGTGTAGAAAAATCGGGCAGGTGGTTAGGGAAAATCCTGGCCGAACACCTGTAGAGTAATCTCAATGCAGGTACATGCAAATCACTGGTCGGACGCCTACAGAGTAATCTCCATCTAGGTACAGGCAAATCATTGGCAGGATACCCGCATAAGCAGGTACATGCAATACACTGGCCAGACACCTACAGAGTAATCTCCATATAGGTACAGGCAAACCACTGGCTGGACACCTACAAAAGCAGGTACATGCAATACTAATCATGTGCACAGACTCTACCAAAGGCAACCGTATTCCCCAAAATCCTTTCTCAACTTTTCCACAACTTTAACTCACATTAACATCCCAAAATCCCATCAATACAAACTCAACAGAACCAAGCTGCTCAAGCCGTTTATAAACTCATAAGCAATACCTTCCAAATCCTTTCCCGTACATGCACGATGGAATCCTCAACGCCCGTGCGGCTAATACACCTTTCCAGACACGTAGTCATAATTATATAAATATAATAAACTCCGATAAATCCATAACACATTTATAATAATATCCAAATAATCCAATACACCGAAATCAAATTCTATAACATGCCCAAATCCTCATAATCCGAAACAATGTCCCCTCATAATTACCAATTACTACACAACGACAATCGAGCTGACATGGCCCACTATCTAAGTCACGAGGCTCATAGGGCCCACGACCTCCAATTTTATATCCAACAGTTCCTATTGGCCCATGGTCATACATTAAGCTCATCCTAAAAGTTTTGTCACGATCCAATGGTCGGCTAGACCTAGATCGCGGAATTTGGTCAATTAGGCCCGCGGGGCCCACTAAGACACCCTGACCCAATTTTAACCATATATTTAATCTATTTAATTTATATAATTTATTTAGTTGTGAAATTACAATTTTACCCTCGAAATAAGGTCATGGTAGTCACTTTTTAATACGTAAGGATTTTTGGGATTTGAGTGGCACCATTGTGTAGAGCTTGTCAATACAAGTTCGTAGACACGTAGTGGGCTTAAATAGGAGTTTTAACCAAGAAGTTATGGTCAATGGAAATGCACTGGCACAACCATAAGTTTCTCAAAGTCAGACTTTTAAAAACCAATTAGCTGGAACTTCCGATGTTGATTCCGACTTCGTGTGGCCATCGCTTCCAACGAAACGACTTGCAAAATCTTCCTCTTCTCCTTCTATACCTGACCCACCCAATTTCTCCTATCAAAAATCGGCGTAGAGCCGGCAAGAGCTCGAGAAAACTTTGGTTTTCTTTGAAATTTTTCAGTGTCGTTTTTGACAATTCTAGCCACGATTTTTTGTAGATCCAGGTATGCTTCTTCACCTACTCAACATGATCTAGCTAATAGTTTGGTTGGTTAGGATATTGAAGTTTTGAAGCTCAATCTAGAACCTAAGTCTTGACTAGTCTTTGGCTTGATTTTCTGGCTAGCTCGAGCCACTTTTTGACCATAGTCTAAGATCAAAAGTTGCTCCCCTAGTTGTCACGAACACATAGGTATAAGTATTGTCGGGTGTTTCGAGAATTTTTTGGTCGCCAAAATCTTCTCAAGACACCCACGCACTGATGCCGCATGGACTATGGTGTGGTGTCCCATTTTGTTTAAAAATGTTCCCCATGTCATCCCGAGCATGACGGTATGCTCGGATTTAAATTTGGTTATCCTTTGGCAGTCGAACAAATTTACACCTATTAGGAGATATCCGAGTTCGATATGTTCAGACTGTTGGATCGACTCTATTAACAAATATGTTGATCTATGTACCTCTATAATCGTGTAGGAACTCATGGATCAAGAATGGGAGTCCCGGATCCTCGGAATCAATGATTCAAAGATTACGTAAAATAGTGACCGTCCGATTGTGCGATCGAGAGCGTTCCTACAGCTCGATCGAGACCAAACTTGCAAAATGTGTTTAGTAGACTTGGTTGAACCTGTAGGAACTTTTGGATCCAAAATCAGAGGTCGTGGGCCCCGCGAGCCCAGCTGACCAATATGGGAAGTTTGACCCCTCAGTTGACCGTGAGTCTTCCGAGGTAGTTTCACCCTGCGAGAAGTACTAGAACGACTTTATAAACGAGTCTTGACTGTTATATGAATTATTTTGGGTCTTGTTGGGATTATGAGATTATGATATTGTTTTAATTGTGGAATTTATGCTTTGAGGAGTTGATACCCATACTATGAATAAATATTTGGGTATATTGGAATATTGAGAATTTGGAAAAAATTTGAATTAAGGGAGGGTACATTATTTTATATTATATATATGGGTTTCAGAAATGCACCATCATATGTACCACCCCCCTTCTCGGCACCTGGACACGGGAAACAATGGTTACTTGGAAATTGTGGTTATGGTTTGGATATGTCGGAACTCGGGCGCCCTAGAAGGGGTGTTACCATAGACCTTTAATGAGGTAGTCTGCGAACATAGGACTTGTCACAGGCACACGAGTATTGAGGATTTTGCTATGCTTGCTGGTGAGCCTAGTCCTCCGGTTTTATAGCTCATCCTTGACCACATGGTTGTTGAAGATTCCACCTTGTGGTTTAGCCAAACGATCCCCATGTTGGATTGTTTTCCCCGGTACATGATGTGCACTATCATATGTACCTTCCCTTTGATACTGATACTTGGAAACAGTGGATATGAATACTTGGATATAGGGAAATGGATACTTGGATATGATCGTAACCCAGGCTCCCTTGACGGGGTGTTTCGTAGACCCTTAGTGGGGTAGTCTACACGCGTAAGACTTGTCACAGGCACACGAGTATTGAGGATTCTGCTATGCCTACTAGCGAGCTCAAGAATATTCCCAAGAAAAAGTGGAGCATCATGGGCTTACAAATAAAATGAAACTGGATACGGAGACTTAAAGGACACTGATCCTAAGATATTGTGATGCACACACGTGTTCCTAAGAGATATAGATGTCTGTTTCAACAGTTTCATATTTTAATCCCGCCCGTGTGATATATCATCGTCTTAAAAGTTTTACGATCAGCTTGGGATCATTATATAGGATCATTTTATGTAGGATCATCTTAGGATTAGCTTCCTTGATGCATATCGTTAGAAGCGATTCCCTAAAGATGTACAAGTAAAACAAATAGCTGGATATAAAGCTATACAATGTGTCATGAAGTGTAATCCCTTAAATAAAATCCTTGAAGGATTGAAATTGTATGAAGCAAGTCTCTGAAGGACATGTGCCTGAAGCACAAAATTTGTACTCAATATTAATATGTATAAATTGCCTCAATGAGTACATTAATTATGATATGGTTGCAATACATTACAACTCCTGAAATTTTGATAATTGATTTAAACTACTGAAGAGTTCAAGAAATATTTGTCTCGGCCTAAAGATCAAGAATTATGCCAACGAGATTCTTGCTTATACTAAGAAAGTATTGATGCATTTTTATGTGGATTATTTGTTAGGCACTTAAATGATTTCCAGGAAGTATACTTGACTGGACATTATATTTTCCAGATAGAGCTTAGCTCCATCACCACCACTTTGGGATGATGTGAGACATATTTGATGCTATTTATGCATAAAACAATATACGGGCATATTCTTTTCAAGTGAACTTACAAATAGCCCAGTTTTGTTTGATTCGTGGACTTTGGAAATTTCTATGATTTACATAGAGATAGCTCACTGGAAATATATTTGCTTACTCAACTACATGAATTGTTGATGGCTACATCATTCACTCAGTTCGAAAGATCTTCCCTCTAGAAAGATAGTCATGAAGATATCAGGGGGAGCATCCAACAATATTATAAGATTGACTTACAGAAGTAGTGCCAACTATGACATTTAGAAAGATGATCAACAGTATGGCTTAAAAGATATTTTGCCAAGCATCAAGGGGAGCATGCAGTCAATAAAGATCTTCACACATTGTACTCTTTTTCCTTTGTCCAAGTTTTTATCCCACTGGGTTTTCCTTAGCAAAGTTTTAATGAGGTAGTCGCACGCATGTCAATATACACAGAATTTTATGTTACACATGGTTATGTACTCTTTTTCCCTTCGACTAGTTTTTTGTCCCACTGGGTTTTATTGACAAAGTTTTTAATGAGGCATATTCCATACATTGTGGTCTCCAAGGGAGAGTGTTGTAAAGAAAATGGTGGAGCTCACATAAAGAAAAGAAAGAAATAATATTCAAAAAGTTTAATGATGATGTTGGAAGCCATCCAATTTGCCTATAATAGGCTTCCCATTGCTTAGCAAAACACACCAACGGAGAAGAGAGGAAAGAAAGGAAGAGAAGAAAGGAAGAGAAGAATGGAAAGAAGAGAAAATTATGTTAGTGTAAGCACCAGAATAGCAAATATAATTCTACTTCCAATATTCAGAGGTACTTTTCATATTCTAATTATTTTATTTTTATAACATAATTAAGGTAGTTATTGTCCACTCCACCCCCATATTTCTCTCCCTACTACACCCACATTCTCCTTTTTAAATTTCTTTTTACAAATTCATATGTTTAGCTAATTAAAAGGAAGAAAGAAAAAAAACTGTAAAAAGGGAGTAACCAATGGATACCTACACCGAACAAAATCATTATCTTGACGTGTCGAGGACGGATATTACGTGCGTCACATGACCTTTGGAGGACAGGTGTCGTTAATAAAAGTGGAAGAAAACGAGAAGATAGAATTTGGGATGGGGATGATTCAGACTTGACATGGCACTCTTGCGGAGTAGGGCATGGCATAGGCATGGGTACAACAAAATAATACGAGGATTTTAGTGTCGTGCCAAAACGAAAGGCATCTTCTGATTCGGCACTGACAACTGACAGGCCACTCTCTCCTATCTCTCTGAGAAACAAGAACACAGAAACGAACATAGACATTGGCACCATTTTGGTTGGTCTTGTTGAAATGCATCAATGGATGAGGAAACCAGGGACCATTGTCAACCATTTCAAATCTCTGCTCTTGGTTACCAACAATCTCAGCTCTTGGAGGAGTTACTCGTTTGTTAAAGGATCTCAATTTGCTGCTTCATTTGCTCACAATCTCCCAATCGCTGATGGAGATTTCATCAATTCATCAACCCATTTCTGCCCCCGTCGCTTTGAATCCGTGAAATCAGAAAAGAAGGCGAATAATGTTGATGACAATCAGGTATTGTTAAAACCCCAACGCTCAACTCAATTTCAGCTTCCTATATAACTTTGGAGCCTGCAAATGTGTCTTGCATTTTATTTTCTTTAAATTATTGTAAGTGCTCAATAATTGGTTGGTTAATCATGGAATAGAACCTTAGTTTTGCATAATCCGCACACATTACTCTTTCGGTTTGAGTAAGCTTCTACTGTTTGTAGTTATGAACACTGAAGCGTTCTCCTTGTGCTAAAATGCGGCACTGATTCACTGGTATTAGTTTTGTTTTTTTTTCTTTCGATTTTTATTGAATAATTTGAACCCTTTTCCAGTTTTCTGCAAATTTGGTTTCTACAGTTTTTCAGTATGTGTGCATAAGATGCAGCTTTCGCACCTCTGGTTTTTCTTACGGAAGCCAAGTTTTCTGTAAAACATATGCAATTTCATTGAATAAGTTGCGGCAAATTCAAACTCTTGAACACTCCATCCAGCAAATTCAAAATTAAGGACTTTTTTGAACCAAATTACCTTGGCATTTGATTGCCATCACTTTGTGAACATTGTAACGTCAACTTTAATGCGTACTGCAGAGAACTATAAGCAAGCACCTAAGTTTAATACGAACTAGGTAAAACTAAACATGCACCTTGCAATTTTTTCTCGTTTCTCTGACAAAAGGGTATCACAGCATATGGAAAGAATACTCCAAAAGGTCACTTGATCTGTTGTATACAACCATAAAATAGTTTGCTATTGTACCTCCCTGGTGATGACTTTGGTCTTGTTACTTCTCAGAGATTTACTACTGCACTTTCGGACCTGTTGAAGTGCTATAGGCATCTTGAATGAATTAGAAGATGAGACATTCTTCCATAGTTTCTTGAATTTGCTTCAGAGAGGACCCTTGAGCTTTCACAGCACACATATACTCACTAAAGATCTCCTTTTATGACAGGCTTTAGAGCTTCCAGAAGGAAAGGTCAAATTCACTCCTAAATTGAGGTTCATATCTGAGACGGCTGATGAGCGGGAATGCTGCTATCGGGTCCTTGATGAAAATGGAAACCGAATTTCATCCAGCAACTATGTGGAGGTATTGTACTCCTCCTCTGCCTTGCTTCCAATAAGGAGCTTTTGTGTTCTTCTTGATAAACATAAATAAAACCCGTAGGAACCTTATGACTTATGGGTTACCAATTTAAATAGGTCAGTAAAGAAGTCGCTATAAAAATGTACACCGACATGGTTACTCTCCAGACAATGGACACCATTTTCTATGAAGCACAAAGGCAAGGAAGGATTTCCTTCTATGTGACCGCAGTTGGAGAAGAGGCCATCAATATTGCATCTGCTGCTGCACTCAAAATTGACGACATTGTCTTTCCTCAGGTTTCTACCGCATATACGCATATAAGAACTTTCTTTACTATGTACATGTGCCACACCTGCAATCCTGCTCATTAAGATTTTAATTCTTTTTGGCTTATCAGATGATTCAGTAGCTTTTCATCTGAGGGGTTGAGAATAATATGAGTTTTCTTTGGCATGCATGCAGTACAGGGAGGCCGGAGTGTTATTATGGCGTGGTTTCACTATACAAGAATTTGCAAACCAGTGTTTCAGTAACAAAGCTGATTATGGGAAAGGCCGGCAGATGCCAATCCATTACGGGTCTAACAAGCACAACTATGTCACTGTAGCCTCAACTGTGGCGTAAGATATAAATTTTTTAATCCAGGATTATTTTTTTGGGGCTGAACGTTGTCAATTGTTTCACTAACTCATAAAGATCACACACCACAAATAATTTATTTGGCTTTCCAGTACACAACTACCGCAAGCTGTTGGTGCTGCGTATTCCTTAAAGATGGAAAAACAAGATGCATGTGCAATTGCGTATGTTGGTGATGGTGGCACTAGCGAGGTAAAATACTACTGAACTTTAACCTAAAAACTGCCACCACCTCTTTCCCTTTTTAATATTCCTGAGGTGAAAATATTTGAACGAGTGGTTATTACATTTTTTTTTTTTTTTTTTTTTTTTTTTTTAGAAACATTATATTCAAAATAGGGTAACAAAACACAGCAGATGTGGGTAAGGGATCCACATGAGAATGCACAAAACAAGAGAAACTGCTGCCTCGGGAACAAAGCACCAAAGGAACAGCTAAAGGCAAAAACAAGAAAACGCTGCACAAGCAAACATCAAATCACGACCCCTAATAAGTCTCGCATAATAGACGAAATGGCCACATTTCTAAACACAGGAGTGATGGACGCCCACAAGGCCGCCCAGAACTTCACTCTATCCCACAACTCGCTCGCCTCTACACCTTTATAATCATAAAATATTCTCCTGTTGCACTCCATCCATAAATTCCAGATCATAGCCTGCAACAAGTTACCCCATAGGACTTTAGCTTTCTTCCCTCTACCCAGAGCATCTATCTTGCACGATAGCAACTTGAAACAACCTTTAGGTGTAACCCAAACAGCATTAACTTCCCCCAGCAACAACCACCACACCTTAAGAGCATAAGGGCAGTGGATGAACATATGGTCCACAGTTTCACCATCAGACTTACAGAGAGCACACCAATGGGGAGATAAACACATAAAGGGACGGTGCCCCTGCAGTAAGTCACATGTGTTGACTCTCCCACGAGCAACCTGCCATAAAAGAATTTTAACCTTTGGTAGGGAGAGAAATCCTTCTTGTAGTCGTCCTTCGGAATGAAGGAGCAAAACGAATGGCAAGAGAACAAACCCGAGTGATCAAGCTTCCACCTTCTTTTATCAAGTCTAGAGGGAACCAATCTAACACCATCCAGGATATCCAGTAATCTAATCACCTCATCAATCTCCCCCACAATAAGATTCCTTCTCAAGTCAAGATTCCAATTATGAGGGTACACTCCAGTACTCACAAAGGAGGAAATGCTGGACTGTTTCTTCCTAGAGAGAGAAAAGTGTAGGGAAAACCTCTTTGAGCACACCTCCCCTGCACCAATCATCTTCCCAATATCTCACACCATCCCTGCCTCCCACTACAAAACACACTCTTGAAGGAAAAGGGTATACCCTCTGGAGATGTCCTACCACGGTTTACGGCACGAGCCACGGGACACAAAGTTTGCGCCCCATCTGTTAGAACTCATCCCATAAATACTCTTAATTACCCTATGCCAAAGAGAATTCGGTTCATTTGGGAAACACCATACCCACTTGGCACATAAGGCCGCATTCCTGGCTTTCAAAGGAGTCACCCCCAAGCCACCATAGTTTTTGAACTACCCACCACCTCCCAGTTCACCAAATGTCTTATTTTTCCATCATCCATACCTTCCCACAAGAAGTCTCTCATTAACTTCTCCACAGTTTGCACCACCCAGGTCGGCATCTTATAGATAGGGATACTACTTAAAACCGCCTGAATCAGAGTAAGCCGACCCCCTTTGGATAAACACGACTTTTTCCATTTCTGCAACCTTTTTTTCCACCTTTTCCACCACCGGATTCCAAAAACTAAGGGCTCGAGGATTCCAGCCAAGAGGAAGACCCAAATATGACATCGGTTAAACCCCCACTTCTCAACCCCAATCTTCAGCCAACCTGGACAGCTCCCTGTCGTTATAGTTGACACCAACTAATGAACATTTCGGTTTATTGATCTTGACGCAAAACAGAATAAGTCCAGCATCTAAAGTAAATTATGCTAGTATTCCAGCTTGTCTCCAATTGAAATATAGTGTCATCTGCGAATTGGAGGTGAGACACCTCCACCCTCTCATGGCCAACTAAGAGCCTACTTAGAGCGTCAATCACCAAGGTGAAAAGGAAAGGGGAAAGAGGATCCCCCTGCCTTAAACCTCTAGAAGCTTTGAACAGTGGAACATGGTTATTAACTCCTCCTATGTTTCTGTTATTTGAAATATCATAGTATTTGAATATATGTATTGTATTGATACCAAACTAAACATCATTTCAATATAGTTGTAAATCCACTTTAGTAATGACTTGGTGTATTTTGCAATAACCCCAGTCAGAGTCTAGTTAGAGGGGAGATGAATTCTTTCTGGAGAGATGATAAAACAAAATGGAATGTTTGCAATTCAGTGATGGGCATCACTTTAATTTAGAGGTCATTGGTTTTGGTAATTTTGTTTCTAATATATCAAATAATGTTAGGGCGATTTCCATGCTGCATTGAATTTTGCGGCTGTTACGGAGGCTCCGGTTATATTTTTCTGTCGGAACAATGGATGGGCTATCAGTACACCTACTTCAGACCAGTTTCGGAGTATTCTTCCTCTCTGCTTGTTCATGCTTGTACTTGTTTTTGATATTTGTATCACAACAAGTCTCTTGATGACTAGAAGCAAGTAATGTTTTTATCCTTATTTTTGGGTGGGGGGTTTTGGGGTTTCTTCTATTTTCAGGCGATGGTGTTGTTGTCAAAGGTCGGGCTTATGGAGTTCGAAGCATCCGAGTAGATGGTAATGATGCACTTGCCGTGTATAGTGCAGTTCATGCAGCACGTGACATGGCTATCAGAGAACAGAGACCAATCTTAATTGAGGTGAAAAAAAAAAGGATTCTTGTTTGATTTCTGGTCTCGTGAGGCATATTGTTGAAACGTAGATTCTTTAACTTCTGATGTTTGGTTTTGATTTTTTTCCATTGGCAGGCATTAACATATCGAGTGGGACACCATTCCACTTCAGATGATTCGACCAAGTATCGTCCAGTCGAAGAGATTGAATGGTGGAAAATGGAACGAGACCCTGTAACTCGATTTAGAAATTGGATGGAAAACAACAGTTGGTGGAGTGATAAGGCAGAATTAGAGGCTAGAAGCAGTGCGAGAAAGCAGGTAAATCCTACTATTATGTCTGGAACAACTTGAAAAACAACAAACAACTAGAAATCAGAAACTCTTCTTCCATGCCTTAGTTCATCATTCTCTCCTGCTCAAAAACTATTAGCGATGCCACATTTGAGGCAGTGCCTCAAAGCAGGACGAATGACGAGCTTTATGCTAAAAGTTATGAGAGATTTTTTCCAATATTAAAATAAATATTTTTGTGTTAAATATAATAAGCCAGGAATTAAATGAATTCATTGAAATAACACAAGAGAATCCAGCACTTAGAGAATATTGACTTTTACACGGAGCTTGAGTTCGTTTTAAACAATCTTTGTGAGGTTCTTCAAAAGTGAGAACGTTCCTTTTTGTATGAGAAAGTTGTTTCCCTGGGTACATTCCGGCTTCCCATTTTCTATTTTCTAACGTTTTAGCAAACTTACCTTCATCAAAATTTCCAATTTTAGGAGCACAGAAGATAATTATGCAATTTCAAATTCTTTTTTGAAAGCTTTTTCCTCTAAAGCAGGCATAGTCCTGCCGAAATGATAAGTTGCCTAGCTCATTTATCTTTAATAGTATGGCCATGAAGAATTATATTCATCGGAAGATAGACTGATATAAATAATGAGAAATTTATATTGTTTTCCAGTAACTTTTTAAATGTAGTTTCAAGAATTTGTTAAAAAACCTAAACAAAACAAATATAGGGTACGGCACCTAAATTAACCATTAGAAATTAGGTGAAAGTTCATGCCTGCTCCATGTGGTTAGTCCTAATTACACACAATTCCTGTAAAAATAGAAAATTTTCATTCATTTGGAAGAAACTAAAACAGAAAGTATTTAAATCTTCTAATCCTTCAAAACTTGTTAAATTTGAACAGATTAGAGAATTGTTTATTTCGATTTAAGATCATTCCTTTGTGTTGCAGATATTACATGCAATCCAAGAAGCAGAGAAAGTTGACAAACCTCCAGTTGCTGACATTTTCACAGATGTATATGATTCTCCCCCTTCCCATCTCTGTGAGCAGGAGAAATTGCTAAGAGAGGCGATTAAAAGACACCCCCAGGATTACCCATCTGATGTTCCTCTCTGAATTTATCTCATTATACATATATGTGCATACATCATACATGCATAAATTATTTAATTAAAAAAATATTGACTTTGACTTTGGCTGTTTTCCATTGACTTTTAGTCTTGAATGTGGATATGATTGCCGAAATATACAGAAAGGGAAGAATATGTATAAAGATTACGTATGTGTAATTTGATAGAAAACTGAAAATATCTAATGAAAAATACGAGTTAATAGAAATACAAAATATTTATATTTACTGTTATGTATTATTTTTTGTTAAATTTTGGACAGATAATTGGACTGGGTTGGGGCCTTCGGAAAAGTTCATGGTGAATTTTTTTAGGGTCAGTTTCATTGTAGGTCAAAGGTTTTATGTTTTGTTTGGGGAGTGGGTTGGGGTGGGGATCTAGTGTTAAATTCTTTTGAGATGCATATGTTAAATCTTGGCTATATATATTTGCTGCAGATGTTAAATTCTTTTGAAGTTCAACGTCGAGTCATAGGCTCTCGACCTTGGCTTTTGGCATTCTAATAGAAATTGTTGGTTCTTGATGTATTAGTCTAGAGATTAGGAATGGCAACGGGCTGATTAGGGACCGGGTATGGCAATATCATCCCCGTTCCAGCTCTCCATCCCCGTCCCCGTTCTCGACCCAATCCCTGATTCAGGCTTTTTGGGAAATCCCTGTCCCCGTCCCCGTCGAGGAGGTGCCTCCCATATCCGCCCAAATCCTTGGTTTTTAATAAGATATTTCTTGTTTCTTATCAAAAGCATCCTATGTAGAGTTAAAATAATTTCTCAACAAGGCAAAGGAGGACACAAAACTTGAAATAATTTCTCAATCCAAATCTTTAGAAACTTTTTTAGTAAGCACAACAAATCCATCTAGTCTTAAATTAGAAAACCAAGCCCAAAGAAATATTAACAATATTCTATCATCAAATAAAACTTCATAATTTCAATGAACTCTCCTATGCTTCATCATTCATAGCTGTAATTAAAAAACAAAGAGTGTTTCAATGGTTGACTCCTACCAAAAAAAAAATTAATAAGATAAAGACGTTACAATTATTTAGAAGAAAATGAAAAACTGGCCATTATATAAGAAAAATCCATTTAAAAAAATAAATAGAGCTATTAAATAAAAGAATGTTACCTCTTCCTCATTATTATCAACTTCCTCATATTGAACAGTGACTATTTTAGCTTCGTTCATCATTGAGAAGCTAATGAATCATATAAAATAAAAAAAAAAAAAATTATTTTTAAAATCTAAAAAAAAAAAAAAAAAAAAAAAAAAAAAAAAAGAAAAAGAAAAGAAAACACAGTAATAAAATAAAAAAATAAATAAATATACTTAATATGAAAAATATAACAACAGAAATATTTCAATACCTCTTATCTCACTCCATAACCAATCACGAGCGCACCTCAATGCCTCTATTGTTTTTTAATGACGCCGGCTACGATAAGGGCTTATAATCCTTCCACTAGTACTAAAGCAAGACTCTAAAGCAACTGTGAATACATCAATGGCCAAAATATCTGTAGCAATATTATGCAAAGAAGGATATCTGATCCCATGTGATTTCCACCAACATAATATATCAAAATCATCATCATCATTCCTAGGTAAAAGAGACTCTTCTATATAATGATCCAACTCATATTTAACATGTCCATGGGTAGTGGAGTGAGAAAAAACATATCCAATTACTTTACCAAATTAAGTTTAGGCATAGATGGCCTATATGAAGAAGTAGGAATCAAGGATTCATATTGCACCTGCTGACTTTGTTGAGATTTTGACTGATACTCCTTGACCAAGTCATAGAGAAGATCCTTATATTTCTTAATCTCTTGAGCTACATTGTTTGGATATATTATATGGCATAAAAATTCAATTTGTTTCATCTTATACCTTGGATCCAAATACTTTCAACTCCCATCAAATCATGCATTGTATCCCAATACTTCTCAAACTTTGTTTGCATATGTAATGCCATTGCTTGCACCTCTCATTGTTTAGAATTAAGCCAATCATAAATTGCTAATCTAATAGCACAAATATTCTTATCAACAAGCTCCTTTGTCTTTGCCCAATCACTTTCACTCGGCACTTCTTTGTACAACTGCTCACGATGCTTCAAAAGAGGAAAAATGTCTTTGTATATCATTGTAATCTTAAGCATGGAATATGTAGAGTTCCATCTAGTCTTACAATCAAGTTCTAACATTTTAGAGGTTGGAACTCTCAACTGTCTTGTTGCTTCAAGAAATTTCTCCTCTCTTTTTTGGGTTCCTAGCCAAAATGCAACACTGTACCTAATTTTCTTAATGCTCTTTTTAATCACCTCTAAGCCATCTCTCACCACCAAATTCAGAATATGAGCACAACAGCGCATGTGGAATAAATGTCCATCTAACATAAGTGAACTGGAGCAAATCTTATCTAACATTAATGCAATCATGAAATCATTTGTAGAACAATTATCTACAGTTAAGTAGACAACTTATGGTCAAGATTCCATTCGAACATGCATTCCAATAAAGCATCAGCAAGTACATCTGTCGTGTGTGGATGTGGAACATATATAAACCTACAATAAAAATCAAATAAGTCACAATCTAATTATTTTTTTTAAAAAGAGTACTAATAATTCAAATAAGAACAATATAATAAATTTAGGTTATTAGACGGCTTTGTAAATTCCATGCATCATCAATGAAATGTGATGTGATAGTCATGAATCATCCCTTATGATTATTGGATGTCCACATATCCGTTGTAATGGCAATTCTACTTCTGTTGGTGTCCAACATCTTCATTGTTTTCTCCCTCTAAACTTCAAAAATCTTAAATATATCCTTCTTGATTGTGTTTCGAGAACACACTTTAAATAATGGTTGCAAATCATTGGAATACATCTTGAATCCAATATGATCAATCATGGATAATGGATATTCATGAAGAATAATCATATTTGCAAGTGTCCTCCTGGCATTGATTGATCTATAGTTCTTTGTCTTTTATAAAGACAAGACTTTACATGATCAAGTAAATGTCTTGTCCCGTTCTTGCTATTTGCGCCTAAGGTATTCTTACAATGAATGCACTCAGCTTTCATTTGACCACAAGTCTCTTTCTTTTCAAATTGTTCCCAAGCAGGAGATCTACCTTTCCTTTTATTCACAGCATCTTGAGTTGAATTGGTGGCTTTTGTGTTGTTATTTTCAGTTATTATAGGATTGCTATCATTTTCAGTTGGTGTAGGATTGTTATCCTCCTCAATTTGGGTTTCAGAAACTTGAGTCTCTTCATTGTTGTCACCCATCTAGGAAAAAAAAACACATACGTTAAAAATATAAAGATTGATACAACAATTGGAAGGTACAATATTTTTTACTATATAATGATCAACTTACTACAATCAATGTATTTTATTTACAAGCCATTGGATTAAACAACAAGAGAGGAATTAATTATAGATGGTAAAAAAAAATTCAATATGCTTTGTGGTGCTAATTCGAGAGAACAAGTCAACAATAGAAAATTTTCAAAGACAGAAATCTTAAAGAGAGAACCTTGTTGACCCTTTGCAAATGAACTTGATTTGAAAGCATTAGAAAATTATAATATTTATATTTAATTTTTTAATAATTGAATGGAAATTAAATTGTGGGACCTGTGACTTTAAGTACATGACTTTTACGAATTGGTATGTATCAATTGGGAATAGTCATGTTCTTAAGAGGAAAAATAAAATATTATTTATTTTGTTTATGAATAAAATAATAATACTTTATGTGAAAAGTTGCATTGTTTCATAGAAATTGAAACATTGCACTTCTTTGCTTAAGTTGCATCGTTTCATAGTAATTGAAACATTGCACTTCTTGACTTATGGATGCAACATGAAAACACACATTTGTTGATATTTTTTAGTCACATCTTTTTTGAACAGAGGCCTTGTTGCTTATAAATAGAGAAGGTCATACAACATTTCATTGATCCAATTGTCATCCAACAATAGTAGTTTTTAGAGCGTTCATATATTTTTAGAAATTTAGTGAGTTAGTAAGAGAGAATTCATACACCAGTTTGAGTTCGCTTTTCTTGGGGATTGTAGTGCTCTACTTCAACACGAAGTCGATCGTTGTATTTTAAGAGATGTTTGCCAAGCAAATCCTAAAAGCACCTGTGAGGAGGCAATTTTGTCTTAAGGAGATAGAACCAAGTTCTAGACTCAATCATCTGTAAAGTATTCTTAACATTTACCTTATCGTTATTTTATTGTATTTATTTTGAATTTGAGCGGCGTAGCTGCTTATGCTCAAAGATTCTAGCTAACTCGATGGCTCGGGCCAAGGTTTGGGGCCCGTGGGCCAAAACATCATCATGAAGCTCCTATTTAAGGCCTCCAATAAAAGCACCCATCAACTGAGCATCAAACCAACTTGGGGCTCTACAAGAGAGCTTTATGAAAAGGGCCACATATTCCTCCATAGAGCCCATTTGGGAAATATGGGAAAGAGTCATATTGAAGTCCAAGGAGTCACTAGGCCCAAACCTTTATAACAATAGCTGAGTAAAAGAGGCCCATGAAGTATAGGAATGATGACCTTTATACTAGCGGAACCAGAGGGTAGAATTGCCACCCAAATGAAGACCGGCCATCACTACATGACGATGTTCCTCGATCTCATAATAATCGAAGAATTCTTTAGCCAGAGCGAGCCATCAGTAAGGATAGTTGCCATAAAAACAGGGAAGTTCCAGTTTCATCATTTTAAAGTTGTGCGAGGCTATGGTGAAGGGTGGAGGTGTAGAGAAGGAGATGGATGTGGAAAGGCAGAGCTAGAGGGAGCTGGGTAGGAAGGAATGTAAGGTGGGGTGGTTGAAAAACGGGTGGTCGGGGAAGGTTGGGAAGGATGAGGAGGGGAAAAGAAGGGCAAGGTTAGGGAAGGGAAGGAAGGGGGAACCGGGGGGGTTGACAAGGTGGAAGAAAATGGACGAGGACCTATGGAAGTGGAAGGCCCAACTGTTTGAGGAAAACGTGGGGTGTGGAGTTAAGCGGGAACCTGTGAAATTACGAGGGTGGTGGTGGAGGACCAAATTTGGATAGGAATCGATCCAATAAGAATATGGGGCAGGCGATCTGGCTTCAAGCGGCGTAGTTCAACAATAAGGGTTTATTGGATATGAGCTTGTTGAGGTTGATGGATGGTCATGTCGTGGAGGGTAGTTTGGATGGTGGTGAGATCGGTTTGAAGGTCGTGCTGCCGAGAAGACATTAAGGCGACAGTATCATGAAAGTCATTAGGTTGGGTGATGATTTGCTCTTGCTGGAACTCCAGCTCCATATTTGAGTTGTGACATCCACCACAAGGACGGGGGCCTTGCTCTTCCCCATGGAAAACCACGCCTGGCTCTAGATACGAGTTGTTGGGGTCTTACAGTACTAAGACTAAAATGGGCAGAAAGGAAAAGGGGAAAGAAACGAAATGCTCATAAATATTTCACATCATTCATAATAATCACTTTCCAAAGAATAGAAGTTTTAATACATTTCCCAGACCAAAGGTGTAAACCCCTGATGTCAGCTAAAAGCTAATGCTAAGACAATTGATAAAATAGTAAATTAGATATGGTGGCAGAGCCCACAAAGAGATAAGGCCCAACCCAATCATGGAGTGTAACATATGCATAAGCTTTAGAATACTTGTTCTAATTGATCTTGGTATCTATCTCAGCCAAGTTCAACGAGTGTGTGACTTTATAACGCTTACATTCTCCTACTTGGGCACACACACCATTAAAACATAAGTTCCTTTCGAAGTTGAAACAAACACAAACTTTAAGGCACCATAAGATCAAAGAACAAAAATCGTAAACATGTTGTAACATCCCGACCCAATTTTAATATTCGTTTTAATTAATTAATTAATTAAATTATGAAATTACAATTTTTCCCTTGAGGGTAGGGGTATTTTGGTCACTTTTTAATCTGATAGCATTTGGGGAATTGAATGACACCATTGTGTAGAGCGCGTTGATACGAGTTCATAGACAAGTAGTAGGCTCAAATCGGAGTTGTAACGAAGAAGTTACGATCAACGGAAGTGTAGTGGCACAACCGTAAATATTTTAAAGTTGGATTTTTAAAAACCTAGATTTTTCCTCTCTCTCTCTCTCTCTCTCTCTCTCTCTCTCTCTTGCACGAAACCTAGTGGCTGGCCATCAACACATTAGGCCACCGTTGGCTACGAGACCGGTCCCAAACGAACCGGCTCGATGTCCTCTTCCCATCCCACCCCACCTCCAACGAAACTGTTGTCTGTAAAGCGAAAATCGGCCGAAAATTCTTCAAAATTTATAGCGTCGTTTCCAATCACCAAATTTGTCAATCTAGGTATGCTTTCTCATCCTTTCAATGTGATCTAGCTGATAGTTGGGTTGATTGGGATCGATTTATGAGTTTTGAAACTCAATTTACAATCCAAAGTTTTGGCCGGTTTTTGGCTCGAGTTTTCAGCAAGTTCCAGTCACTTTTTGGTCGTGGGATCAGAACAAAAGTTGCTCCACTAGTTGTCCTGATCACGTAGGTATAGGTATTGTATGGTGTTTCAAGAATTTTCTAGTCGCTAGAATTTTTTAAAGACACCCACACCTTTACCGGAGTGTGGGCCAAGTTTGGTTGGCCTATTTGGTCCTAAAATGACAGTATGCTTGGTTTGAATTTGGTTATCATTTGACTATTGATCATATTTACACATATTATGCGTTATCTGGGTACGATATGTTTGGACCGTTGGATCGACTCCGTTTCCATGTATGTTGTTGATCTAGGTATCTCTAGGATCGTGTAGGAATAATTTTTTATGCGTTATCTAGGTTTCTATAGCATTCCACCTGGGGACATTTTTTCATGCGTTTCTATAAAGAGGGCATGGTTGAATAAAACATTGGAGGCGAGGCCATAGCCGCCTATTCCCCTTACAGAATTACCTTATTAAGATGCAACCCATTGCGATTAAGTGAAGGCATGTTGAACGGCTTCAAGATTGGGATCTGATATTTGGAATGGTGGCTTGGATAAATGATGACATATCACTTTGCATACACTTAAAAAGCCATCAGTCCTCATTCACATATGCATTCTTCAAATCCCAATTCACATATGCAGTCTTCAAATCCCAATTCAATGCAGTTTGGTTAAGGTTAGGTAAATGTCGTGAAGGAGTTAGGCCAATATTACACAGATGTTTGTTTCATTAAATCCAAAAAACTTTACACTCCAGATGCACATTCTATGTATGGGAATGGCATGTGTCTAACTTCAAAAACGCATCTGCCTATCCATTTAGATTGCCCATGTGCAATAGATTTACAGATCCATTTACTTTTCTCCTCACCAAGCCTCAGCATCTCCATTTCAGATTCTTCATTTTTCTGTCTATGCTCTGCATCCAGCTCCATATACATTTAGCACAATATGAGAATAAACGTAGCGTAATATCACACTAATCGAAATGAAAGCATGCATCTGCTATAATATTTGCCACTATTTTGGTTCTAATTGTTATTGTCCAATAACTTAAATCTAAATTTATGTACAAAAATACACTAAGATTGAGAAAGACGAAGAAGAATTGAGGAGCAGAGGTAGAATTCGAAAAGGACCCGTGGGTCTCTATTGTGTATTTACATGAGTTTGAAATTAGACATTCCCAAAACCTATTTAATCATCATGTACCTAAACCAAGTTCAACCAATATCATGGCATGTAAGCATCTCCCCGTACTATCTCTGCAACCAACTTCAACCGAAAAAAGGGCATGTTCTGCGAGGTGCAAGTAGCTAACGGAATCTCAGTGCTCAAAAGCTCAATGTACTTCAACACGAACATGCCACAATCACCTCTGAAGCAAAACAAGAACTCGATCAATTCAACTAATGACATTCTAACGTAATGACAAATTAAAATAATAAAATTAAATAAAAAGTTGTGCTCATTGATTAGACTGTTGTGGAACATCCACACGTTGTATTGGCCACGGACACCACCAATCTCGGCTGCAATCGTTTGTGTAAACACCTTCTTCATAAAAGTTGATGGCGTTGAGAAGATTTGGAATCGTAATTGAAAGCGGGGTGAGTTCTTCCTTTAAGATCTCATCTGGAATAAGTGAAACCATTGAATCGTACACTTTGATTTCACACTGAACCAGATCAATCATTAGAGCCACCCAATGCTTATACTTCGTCAACATACAAGTGGCATACACCTTATATGCGTTCTGCCAATCCATCCCACACGCCGGAACCTTGCCATTTACAACGTTCACTAAACTGCTTCTAATTTTCCACCCAACTTGCTCTTTTTTTCTTTTATTATCCGCAAAGCAAGTATGGATGTGATTATGTGAAATAGAAAACAATCAATGGTTAAACACCTCCACAAAGCAAGTATGGATAATTTGTAATTATTAACTGCACTTGGTCAAGGCCTATGACATACTGATGTAGCACAGCCTTGGGTGTGTTAGTTTAAACACTCAGAGCAATAAGACAGAAAAGATAAGAAAAGCTGAAGGGAAGAAAAGGTAGAAGGCAGACAGAAATCAGAGAGTTTAAAGGAATGTTTAATCAATATTCAAATCTGAATTGTAAAGAACTATATAAGGGTATTTATAGCAAACTAAAACCTAGAGATAATAGAATTAAAATCCCCAGCTAAAACAGAAATCCTATTCCTAATAAAATAGGAAACTTAGAAATCCTAATAGGATTTGGAAAACTAACTTAGAAATCCTACTAGGATTTGGAAAACTAAAGAATATAGGAAACTAACAATCAATTAGGAAACTAAACAATTTAGGTCCTATGCATCCTGCATCACATACCATAAAAAATACATCGGTCGTTGTCCAGTCTGATATTTCTACTTCCTCCAACTCTTGTTGTCGCTTCCGGATGAGATACAAGCCCAAATCAATGTGTTGCACATGTTTTTCTTGTCAATCTCATAATCTATGTACATTCAAACAAATGCATAATCAATTAAACTTACATCTCCTTTCAGCCAACCGTCAGCTTTGACGAGGGAAGCGAAGAATTCAATCTCAGCTTCCACGTTGCCAAATTGCATCACCAAACTATGAATATAAAAAAGTTTTAGAACACAACAATTAAAAAAAATATACACTCATGCCTTCTATCTCAAAAAACAAGGCACTTACTTTGGGTTATGGCACCATTCCTAACAAAGTTTCAGCAATTTCACCATATCATCATGCGGAATCACCTTCATTGGGTATAACGTCCGAAGTCGGGTTGTCTCTGGCAAATTTTTTGAACCAATTCACTAGCTTCAAAGATCTTCCATATAGGAATAATCCTCTTCCTCTTTCGTAATTGGACCCCTCGTTCCACACCTTTACCTTCATCATTCAACCAAACGTTCAACTGAGATAGCACAGCTGTAGGTTGATCCAAATCAATGTCCCTGAGAGTAAACTCAACCTTTGTCCCCTCCGTGCTCTCGCCAATGTCATCGCCAAGCAACATAACTTCATCATCCCCTTCCTCACATTGGTTTCTTTGCACTTCCTTTTCCTCACTTCTCTGTCTTTTCACTTCCTTGCCCTTCCTTCTTCTTTTTTGCGGATCCTCTCCCTCATTGCTTTTTCTTTGCAGTTCCTCTCCCTCATTGCTTTTTTTTTCACTACCTCTCCCTCAATGCTCTTTCTTTGCGCTTCCTCTCCCTTGCTGCTTTTTATTTTCACTTGCTCTCCCTCACTTCTTTTCCTTTGAGCTTCCTCTACCTCACTTGGTTTTCTTTGCACTTCACCCCCTTTAATCCCCTCCTCTTCCTTTTCCTCTCCCTCATTTCTCTTACTTGGCACTTCACCCCCTTCAATCCCCTCCCCTTCCTTTTCCTCTCCCTTATTTCTCTTAATTGCCCTTCACCCCTTTCAATCCCCTCCTCTTCCTTTTCCTCTCCCTCATTTATGTTATTTGGCCATTCACCCCCTTCAATGTCCTCCTCTTCATTTTCCTCTCCTTCATTTCTGTTACTTGGCCTTTCATCCCATTGCATGCCATCCACTTCCTCATATCCCTTAAATAGATGTGACACGACACAACGATTTATCCTTTCTTTCAGTAAAGCTATGTCCCTTCTTACTTCCTGCTCAAAATGAGGACCTAAACAGTGGTCCAAAATTTTTTCCATCCGTATGACCTTTAACTCAAGGACGTCCTTTTCCTGCTTTACTTGAAACAACTCGGACCTCAACAAGCTTACCGCCTTGTTCAACTCATCAAGGTCAGCACATGAAGAAGGAATTGACTCTGCCGAGACAAGCAGGGCGATCCTGTGGCCAACTCCAATATGGTTGTCTCATTTCCTCTTCACTCGAACATAGCGCCCGCAACTGAACTGACTGTTTCAGAAAACAGCCAAGAGTCATATGCAATCATTCTACTTCATAATTTCATTGAATTTTATAAATAGTTCCAAGGGCTGCAAACCAAACCTCTTTGCTCTGGAAAAAATAATTGTTCAACTTTCTCATCTTGGGAACAGACGTAGTAGTTCTCCATTGCAAAATACGCGGGAGAGCTGTCCAATCAACAACCTTGCAGTAATTCAGGTCCGCCATTCTAGGAATTAATTCATATACCCAAATCTACACAATTCATAGGACAAAAGTTATTATTTAAGTTTTAAAGTCCACAAAACATAACGACATAAACATTATTACCATGTACCTGGAAAGCATACGTGAAACCTTTAAAACTCCAGCCACCCCTTTACACTTCACCATGGTTATCCTTCTTGCCCTTCTCATTTCTCCGGCTTGTTCCCGTTACCTTACTTTTCCCCTTCCCTTTTCCCTCTTCATTTTCAAAGCTTTTCACATACTTTGTTGGTGCAGAAAACAGACTGTCTTGGGTTTTTTCAAAGGACATCGAACCCCACGGATACCTGTTGAACGCATCCAAGTCCTCTACAAGGGTCAGGTAATTTAGATTGATGTTCAAATGCTTGTCCCTTCCCAAAACCACTAACTCAGCAAGGTAAACAAGAGCTAGCTTGTAGATGTCATCTTCCTCTGTGCACCTCAGAAATGCTTCTTCTAAAGCATTACATGTAATTCATTCGTCTATAAAATATCTTTTCTGAAGTCTAATTTCATCACTTTCTCCACTGGAAACTTCAGGCACTTCCCCAAAACGAAGCCCTATGATCAAACATAAATCCTAATGAGTGAATTGAGCAACGTCGCACCCTATTAAGAAACTCAGTCTATCTAAGTCTTTCAAACCCTGCCCCGCTACTCTACGCAACACAACCCCATGCACAATCTGCCTGCTAAACTGAATCTTATCTACATTCAGAAGATGGCCAAAGCATGATGTCTTGAATTGTTCGGCACTCAACTTCGCTCGAATTGCAGCTAGGGATGAATTTGTATGTGAGCAGTTGTTCACCCGTGAGGAATATGCCTCTGACTCTGGCCATACCAGCTCCACGTTGGATCCCATTTCCATGCGGCACCCGTGCAATATTACATGTGTGACTAATCCTCATGTTTCAGATCTCATTTTCTTCCGTGTAATATTAATTTTTCAGGTCCTGTTTATTTGATTCAATTTACATTTCGCCGGCTGGAAATACCACCAGACTACAGTGCCAATCATTTGGGTAAGTGCGACTCCAAAGTAAGATGGGCATGTTTAAATACATCCTATATCGAGTTCTGTTCCCTGCCTCAGACTATCATCCAATGTATTAATTGTTGAGAGTTAAGCTGCATACTAGTTTTGAATCAAGCTGCAGATGTTAATCCTGCAGATTGATAGTGAAGAGGATGAAGAAATCAAAGGAGCTGAAGAACTTTCCGTTTATAGTAGTAGCCGTTATAGGTTATTACCAACGGCTAGTTTTCCTACTATTTTGGGAAACTCTACAGCTGTCATTCTTAGCTGTCTTAGTCCTTTATGCTGTAACAATTTCTATCCTAGGTGTAAGAATCGTAGCCTCCAATGACCTTGAATGGCTGGAGATGAGTCCTTGTATCCTAGTTTTTAGGATTTGTTTTTGGCAGCTTGTGTCATGCTTATATTGTGTTTTTTTGGCTCTGATGTAATAGAAGAAATACAGACAAAAAGCATTCTCATTCTCTCTGAGTTTTCTCTCCTCTGCATACGTTGCATATACTGGTTCTATTGGTTTCTGTGAATCAGGCACTAAAACCAGCAAACAAAATACCAAATTCTAACATGGTATCAGAGCTTCTGGTTTGATTTCAGAGAAGGGGCGTGAGCTGTGAGAAAGGGGGTTTTCCTGAAATCTCTATAAGGGATAAAGGTTGCTCTTTTATTGTGTGGTTCACTGAGACTCACATCAAAATGGTGGGTTCAGGTTCTGCAGGTGGAGATTTACGAACTCCACAGTTCAACGGTTCAAACTATGATTTTTGGTCAGTAAAAATGGAGACTATCCTCATAGCATATGACCTATGGGATGCAGTGGAGATTGGAATACAACCACAGCCGATTATTGAGCAGGAAGCAGGCTCTGAAGGCACTGGAGATGAAGAGAGTGAGGCTGAGCAAATCCCAGTGGAAGCACCTACTATCTCCAGAGAAGATAAGATCAAAAATGCCAAGGCTTTGAGTCTTATTCAAGGAGCACTGACAGATGAACTCTTTCCTCGCATCAGAAATGAGAAGACTGCAAAAGGTGCTTGGGAAATTCTAAGAAGAGAGTTCAGAGGAGATAAAAAGGTAAGAGCTGTGAAATTACAAGCTATTAGAGCTGACTTTGAATATTTGAGAATGAATGATGTTGAATCTCTGGATGACTACTTGGCTCGTTTTTTTGAAATTGTAAACAACCTGAAATCTCTAGGAGAAGATGTAACAGAGAAAAGGATTGTCCAAAAATTGTTGATGAGTCTAAGTAGGAGGTACAAGTCCATAGTGTCAATCATTGAAGAAACCAGAGATCTTGACACTATTAGAGTTGAAGAAATTCTTGCATCTGTCAAGGTTTATGATAAGAGAGAGGATTTGCATGATGAAAGGGACAAATTGGCAGGAACTGAGAAAGCTTTTAGCAGTCTCAGAGTTGGAAATGATCAAGCTTTTGGAGCTAACAAAAGTTCTCAGGGAAAGCAAAATCAAAAATGGCAAGGACAAAACAAAAAGGGCTCAAATTGGTCTCAAGGTGGAAATTTTAACAACAATAATGGCTCTGGAGGGAATTGGAACAGCAGCTTCAATTCACAAAACAAGCAAGGGAGTAGTAGTCAAGGTGGTGTGAAACCACAGTGCCAAGTGTGTCAGAAATACCATTTTGGTATATGCAGATATAAGGGAAAACCCAAGTGTGGAAAGTGCAGTCGATTTGGTCATTTAACTAAGGACTGTGAAAGTGGTAAACAAGTTGCAAACTGTGCAAAAGAGGAAGAAGTAACCACAGGAACAATGTTCTATGCTTGTCATGCAAGCTCAATTGCATCAAGCAAGTCTGTGTGGTTTGTCGACAGTGCTTGCAGCAATCACATGACCTCTCAAGAGTCCTTGTTGATCAATCTTGATAGGTCAGTGACCTGCAAAGTGAAAATGGGCACTGGTGACCTTGTTCAAGCCACAGGAAAAGGGACACTAGTAGTTGAGACAAGAAAAGGGAGAAGATATATAAATGAGGTGCTGTTAGTCCCTGGTCTGGATGAGAATTTGTTGAGTGTAGGACAAATGATGGAGCATGGGTACTACATTCTATTTGGAGGAAACTATGCATTAATATGTGATGATAGCAGCCTTGATAATGTTGTTGCCAAAGTAGCAATGGCTGGAAATAGATGCTTTCCATTGTCTATGGAATCTATCTGCTCAATGGGAATGAAAGCAGCAGTACAAGTAGATCCATGGGTTTGGCATAGGAGATTGGGGCATTTGAACTTTGCAAGCATGAAAAAAATGCAGCAAACACAAATGGTGCTAGGCTTACCTGATTTCTCAGAAAAAGAAGGAGTATGTGAAGGCTGTGTGTATGGTAAAAGCCACAGAGAACCATTTGAAAATGAGAAGTCTTGGAGAGCTAAGCATCCACTTGAGTTGATACACACGGATGTATGTGGTCCAATGCAAAATGAGTCCATTGGAGGAAATAGATACTTCATCACATTCATTGATGACTATTCAAGAATGTGTTGGGTATATTTTCTCAGAAACAAGTCAAGTGTGATAAGTGTGTTCAAAAAGTTCAAAGCATTTGTTGAGCTACAAAGTGGATTCAACTTAAAGAAACTAAGAAGTGACAGAGGTGGAGAGTACACTTCACATGAATTCCTTGAGTTTTGCAGTGATCTTGGCATGGAGAGGCAACTGACTATTGCCTACTCACCTCAGCAAAATGGGGTTGCTGAGAGAAGAAACAGAACCATCTGTGAAATGGCAAGATCAATGATGACTGAGAAGAAAATCCCCGTAAAGTTCTGGGCTGAAGCAGTTGGTACTGCTGTGTATCTGCAAAACAGGTGCTACAGTTTCAGACAAAACTCCATTTGAAGCTTTCACAGGAAGGAAACCAGGTGCAAAACACCTGAGAGTGTTTGGAAGTATATGTTACAGTCACATTCCATCAAACCTTAGACAGAAGTTTGATGACAAAGCAAGCAAAGGAATTTTTATGGGTTATGGCAGCTGTGAGAAGGGTTACAAGGTCTATAATCTTCAAACTGAGAAGATTATACTCTCTAGAAGTGTTGTTTTTGATGAGAACAAATCCTGGAATTGGGAAAGCAAGCAAGATGAAACTGTCTCTGTGCCTCTCATCTTTGAAAATGGAAATTCTGAGATAGCTAAAACAGAAGCAGCCTCTCATGAAACTCACAGCATTGATTCACCAAATCTGAATAAATTAATCTCAGATGATGAACATGTCTCTGAGAGAAATGGCAGTGGTACCAGTCAAGGGTCAACTCCAAGCAATACACCAGTGAAGCTGAGAAGTTTGGAGGACATTTATGCAAGATGTCACATGACCATCATTGAACCTGAAACTTACTATGAAGCTGTTGAAGACAAAGCATGGAAGGAAGCAATGGATGCTGAGATAGAAACTATTGAAAAGAATGGAACTTGGGAGCTAGTGGAAAGGCCTACAGATAAACCAGTCATAGGAGTCAAATGGGTGTTCAAAACCAAGCTGAATCTTGATGGGACAGTTCAAAAACACAAGGCTAGGCTTGTGGCTAAAGGGTATGCTCAAAAACCTGGTATTGATTATAATGAAACCTTTGCCCCAGTGGCAAGGTTAGATACAATCAGAACTTTGATTGCACTTGCACAAAAGGGTTGAAAGTTGTTTCAATTAGATGTTAAGTCAGCCTTCTTGAATGGAGTACTTGAGGAGGAGGTTTATACTGAGCAACCAGAGGGGTTTGAAGTGAAAACAGCAAGTCATAAGGTCTATAAATTAAAGAAGGCCCTCTATGGTTTGAAGCAGGCTCCCAGAGCCTGGTACAGTGAAATAGACACCTATCTAACTAGCTGCAATTTTAAAAGAAGCACCAGTGAGGCCACCTTATATACCAGAACTGATGAAGAAGGAAAACTGATCATTGTCTCTATATATGTTGATGATATAGTTTATACTGGAAACAGTAATGCTTTGCTCAGTGAGTTTAAAAGGGACATGATGCAAAAGTATGAAATGACTGATTTAGGACTCCTACATCATTTCTTGGGAATGGGAGTTCTACAAACTGAAAATGGAGTGTTTATTCATCAAAGCAAGTATGCAAAGTCCTTGCTTGTGAAATTTGGTCTCGAGGATTGTAAGTCAGTAAAATTCCTCTACCCACTGGTGAAAGATTAAAGAAAGTTGATGGAAGTGATTTGGCTGATGAAGGTTTGTTTAGAAAAATTGTTGGCAGCCTGTTGTATCTGACTGCAACCAGGCCTAATATAATGTTTGCAGCCAGTTTGTTATCAAGATTCATGCACAGCCCCACAAAGAAGCACATGGGAATTGCAAAAAGGGTTCTTAGATACATTCAAGGCACTCTCAGCTATGGCATTGAATTTACAAGGGATAATAATGCTGTTCTGGTTGGCTTTTGTGACTCTGATTGGGCTGGCAGTGAAGATGACAGTAGAAGCACATCTGGATATGCATTCAGTTTTGGTAGTGGAGTTTTTTCATGGGCTTCAGTCAAGCAAAACACAGTTGCATTGTCAACTGCAGAAGCTGAATACGTTTCAGCAGCTGAGGCAACAGCTCAAGCTATCTGGCTAAGGTTTGTGTTGGATGATTTTGGTGAAATGCAATCTGATGCAACACCATTGTTTTGTGACAACATGTCAGCAATATCAATGGTCAAAAATCCTGTTTTCCATCAGAAAACAAGGCACATAAACCGAAGGTATCATTTCATAAGGGAAGCTTTACAAGAAGGGGTGATTGATATAAAATTCTGCAGAAGTGAAGAACAGTTGGCAGATATTTTTACAAAAGCTCTGCCCAAAGATCGATTCAATTATTTGAGGTTGAGGCTTGGAGTTAAACCAGTAAGCAGCTTAGGAGAGGCTGTTGAGAGTTAAGCTGCATACTAGTTTTGAATCAAGCTGCAGATGTTAATCCTGCAGATTGATAGTGAAGAGGATGAAGAAATCAAAGGAGCTGAAGAACTTTCCGTTTATAGTAGTAGCCGTTATAGGTTATTACCAACGGCTAGTTTTCCTACTATTTTGGGAAACTCTACAGCTGTCATTCTTAGCTGTCTTAGTCCTTTATGCTGTAACAATTTCTATCCTGGGTGTAAGAATCGTAGCCTCCAATGACCTTGAATGGCTGGAGATGAGTCCTTGTATCCTAGTTTTTAGGATTTGTTTTTGGCAGCTTGTGTCATGCTTATATTGTGTTTTTTTGGCTCTGATGCAATAGAAGAAACACAGACAAAAAGCATTCTCATTCTCTCTGAGTTTTCTCTCCTCTGCATACGTTGCATATACTGGTTCTATTGGTTTCTGTGAATCAGGCACTAAAACCAGCAAACAAAATACCAAATTCTAACATTAATATCATATTTCACATTAACTGCTTAAATATCTTTGAGGTAGAGTGCTTCCATCAGCCTTTCCAATCACAGCAACTAACAAACACTGAATTTTCAGGCCATCAGCTTTTCCTCAATAGATCCATCTCTAACTTTTGAATAGAAGCCATTCCTTGTTCTTTTTCCCGTGGTTTCCAATTACTCATCAAATTAGCTTATTGTTTTCACTTCTGTGCAGACACATTGGCTCAGAATTCTAACATATATATGCTTGTACACACAAACATTCTCAATGTCACACCCTTACACCATACATTTTTTCTTGGTAGAGTATTGTGCTTCAGTTGGTCTGTCATGGAAATTCATGCATACATGTAATCAGGTTGCATTGGCGGCTGTGATGAGACTCTTAGACAGTTGACGGAAATCTGTGGAACTGGTTCTCGGTTGTCAGGTTTGTTTGTTTTGAGCAACTGTTTGAATTTGTGTAAAATAATTGATTTTTTTTTCAAGATTATGACCAATTTGTATATGAATTTTGTTACTGATTCTCTCTTTGAATTATCTTTGTACAAATTATAGTAGCCTTTTAGTTTCATATTTTCTTTCCATCATTTTTCTTGGGTACTGCCCACTACTCTGACCCTCATCATATGCTTAGTTTTCTATTTATGCAAATAATTATCATATCTAGAAAATGGGACATATTTAGAACTCTGGATTAGTGGATCATTTGCTGTATTTTTGTTTTGTTTTGTTTTTTTCTTTAAAAACTTAGGAGTGGAACTCATGTCTGGAATTGTCTGCTGTATTCTGAAATTTGCATTAGTAATAATCTTTATGGGCATGTTGTTTTTGGATTGTCTTTTTCTATTCAAGAATTACTCAGAAGGGTAATATCAGTTTTACCGGGATCACTACACCCTTATGCCCTATCGCGGTTTGGAACCACCCAAAATATGGTGCATGCGCACTCTAAATCATTAGAATTTGGTTCTCCAACTTTATCTTTTGCTCATTTATCAGTAATAATCAAAAGAGTTAATACACTACGCCTCTTGTGGTTTGGTGTAATTACAAGATCTACCTTGCCCTTTCAAAATTTACACATAACTCTTCAACTAACAGTAAACTTGCAGTCTTGATAAAAGTGTACTTACTAAATCTGTACTTATAACCCAAAACACAACCTTAATAAGAGTGCAGTTTGGGGCCAAATGTGCCCTTTGTTGAACTGTACATATGGTCAAGAATATACTTATTTCACCTACCACTGAGCAGACAACTCTCCATTCTCCTGGTAACAGTGGGTGATATCTATAATGTGAAAAAATTGTCTACTGAAGGTCAATAACATTATTTTGACTTGTAAATGAACAACTTCTATGTGCTCTTGAATGTTTCACTTTGTAACACATCCTATTTCCATTACTTTGACGATTCCCGTCACTTGGACTTGTCATTATAATGCTTCTATTGCTTTAATATTTTCACGTGTGTCTCCAGCTAACATTACTAGTTGAGGACTGAAGTGATGAAAATTAACTAAGAAGATGATAAATGTCCAAAAGAAATGAAAAAGTGGAACAACTTGGGAGAAAAAGTTCTTGGTGTAGGGGTTTTCATCTTCTAATTTTTATCTAAATTACACAATGCAGATGAAATTTATTCATCTCTTATAATCAATATGCAAAATAGTTTAGGAGAAATTTTTTATTGAAAACTAATCTACGTCGAGCTATTTTTCAGCAGGACCTCCCCTACAGTATCGTCACCGCAGTAGAGTTTAACCACCAAGTTCGGGATGGATCGGTGTGGTTCCTCTACATTCAACCAACTCCAATCCTTTTACCCATTAACATTTTAGAAGATTTCACAAAACCCCTATCGCTTAGTTTCCGACTTTTCGGAAATATCTCCACTAGCAGGTTTTTTCGGAAAACTTCATTATTCTGGTGTGGATGGCAGGCAGGCCAGAAATTCGAATTTATATTAGAAAGCGTTGTTTCTTGGAGTGCTGTTTATTACAGTGCATAAAAGAAAAATTGGTGGAATGGTATGACACCTAGCTTAAATTTTTGTGATAAGATAGACTTAGAGGATAAAGATCAGTTCTGAGATCGTGAATGTGAAAAGACATTTTAAGCATAAGCGTGAAGCATTTTTAGACAGTAGAAGATGTGTTGCTTCAACAAAACCTGTAGTATATCTCATTTTATAGTTGTCCTATATTCATCATTCGACGGCATATAAATCTGGAAAAAGTTGCCTATTCAAGGTTTTTTATGTACAATATTTAAAATTTCGTGTACCGAGTGTTGACTACCTACTCCAACTGAAGATCGCTTATATTATTTTGGTTGTGTCACCAATAAGTGCAATACCAATCTTTTGACAAGATGTATAATATGTTCTTCAGCGAGAGGGCGTGGCGAGCCAGCAATGCCAAACAATGTCCAACGAAGTAATACCAGGCAGGGTGCTTGCATATACTGTCATCAAACAGGGCATTCTTCAGGCAATTGCCCTTCCCAATCTTCAGGGCCGAAACAGTGCTTTACCCCTAGATGTCCAGTCAACCTTCTTGTAGAAGATCTTTCCTTAACATCAAGCATGTTGGTATTAGATAAAAAAAAGTTACTCCAACAATTTCTTTGTCTTCAACGCCCTTAAATTTGCAGGAATTAGTCTCTTCAACAGTCTTCGATGGTTATACGGGTATCTCGAAGTTCGAGGCCTCAATCTATGAATGTTCAAAGTGGTATGACTGCTGAACTTCCATTTATATTTTTTTAGTTCATATTTTGTCAGATGGACTAAGTGACCAAGACAAGTATAATGATTGAGGATGGGAGCAAATGATGATATAATGTTAGAGGACAGTATGAAAGTGGAACATGTCATCAACGTTATAGGTTTGGAAGTTTTAGGGAAATCGAATTCTTATTAGGAACTATTAAATTAAATTGTATGACACCTTTTGGGAATATATTATGCCGGTTCCAGTGTGAGGTTACCGACGTGAAGGCTTAACATATGCCTCTTTATGGTGGTGATGATAAGGTACGAATAATCTCAAAAAGCCTCCATGATATGATTTATCCATCTATTCTCAACAGTAAACACCACCCCTAAAATGTAGACCTAGCACCTATATGAAGAGGCTTTCAGCGTAATAGAGGAAGAGGCTTTCAGCGTGTAAATGTTAGTGCCTCAGCATCGAACCCCAGTCGGAGTGTTGGCCATGGTAGAGGTGGCCGGGGTGCAGTAGATGCTGCTGGTGTGACTTTTGTGTCAGCAACTGGTGATACCATCTCTGGTAGAAGGTGTTTTGTCTGCGGAGATCCATCGCACTTTGCGAATGCTTGCCTGAATCGTGGTGTCTGATGCACCTCATAAAAGTGTACTTCAGTAACCTTTGTGTTTAAAGATTGATGTCATTCTTCAGCGTAGATACTACTAGATAGTAGATGTACAAAACAATATCAGGTTGGGTTCTTAGCAGTCGATAGTGATGTTATCAACTGAACTGAATTTTGATTTCAACGGATTAACATTGTTACATACGAATCTGCAGTATTATAATGGGAACCCTCTTTGTCAAATGGCAATGGCTTTGGAAATTGAAAAAAAGAAAACAACGTATACAAACGAAATTTCTAATATTACTTCATTTTTAAAATTAGCTCACCTCCATTTATTCCCTCTCGATTCATTTTTTTAAAATATAATAGATTATTGTTATAAAACAAGTTTAAATAATGGATTCGAGTCCTCTACTTGATTTTTCTTCAACGGAACCGGATCCTTGAATAATACAATACCATCAAAACAAAACAAAACAAAAAAAGTTAATTTGGAAATCGCCAAATTAATTAAAAGCATAAGTACTCTTTAAAAGGTAATTACAAGAGGATTTTGAAAATGTGTATAAGTTGGTGAGGTCTAATACGAGAAAGATGGTAACATGTGTTTCCCTCTTTTCGGCCGAGGCGGCCGACGGAAGCAACTTTTGGTCCTTCTTTTGGATGCGGGGCGTGCCACCACCAAGCCCTTAAATTGGGCTTGAATGGAATGAGAATAGATGGATGTGTTGCGCTTCTAACTTCAAACCAAACGATTGATCGGCCAAGCAAGGAACCTCTTCTTGGCCTAGATTCTTTCACTTTCTCGGGCTCGAGAATGGTTAGGTTTCGTACGGATGTTTTTGCGATTTTTATGGTTTAAGTAAAAATAATGCAATTAAACTAAATATGCGTATAAATGTAAAGACAAGAATTGAAATACGATAAAATAAATCAAAGCGATAGATAAAGCAAGAATGAAATAAAAGCGATAAGAACGATAAGAACGAAAAGGAAATAAACTTGAAATTAAATTTAATCGAAGTGCAATAACAATTAAATGTAAAGGAATCGAAATAAACTTGAATTGAAATGATAAGAAATATAAATCGAACAAGAATTTAAATGACAGGGAAAATATAAACTTACACTAGAAATATGAAGAACTCACTACACTAGGTGCTTGAAAAATAAAATCCTAAGTCTAGGAAAAGAAAAGTGCGAGACGAAAGATAGGTTTGTTTGTCTGATGTTGTGTGTCTGATGTCTTCATGGAGCAAGGTTTATATAGGGCACTCGTCAGCCCATGGGCTGACCATTGAATGGCCAAAGGTCAACCCTTCTAAAAAATCTTTCATTTCGAACCCCCCCCAATATCCGTAGAATTGCATTGATATTCTGACATGCTTGATTCTTCCTTACTTTGGAACATTTGGAGTTACTATCAAATCTCTTGATTTCTTTCCTTGTGAGGCCTCCGTCATGTGCACATAATCTTCCAAAAATCTGGGCGTGAATAGATGGCTTAAACTTGGGCCTCCGACTTCTCTTATATTGCCATCCATATAATATAAGAGTTCATATTATTCAATATATATATATATATATATTCATATATTCATATAAGCGTAAGTTGGGCAAAACCTCCTAGCCTGCGTGCATGCCATTCACTTAGCTATATATATACTTGCATATATATATATATATGTGGTTTCTAAAGCAGCCCACTTATCTATATGCATCACTCCAAAACAACTTGCCCATTTTGCCAAAGTTCCTAAAGCACAATTTTGGAGACCAGCAAAAAGACCCGGCCACTGCTTTTATTCATCCAAGTATATATATATATATATATATAATAAAACAAAGACTTTTCAGCCCAATTCGCAAAGAGATTAAATATCCCAGCCGCATCTGCTCAAAACCAAAAACTCGCCCGCATATTCATACTTTTATATTCATTTTTATATATATATAATATATAAAAGCAAAGAGGTTTCAACCTAAATGAACTTCAGCCGCATTTTTACAAGAAAACCCAAAGATTCTTGCCCAAAGAAATCCTGCAGCAACCAACATTCAAAGATATGCCTGAGATTTTCCTATAGTTTCGGCCGAACCTGGCCAGCTTCTCAACTACATCTTGTGAGGCCCAACTGCATCTAATTCTCGGGCAGCAAGGCTCCAACAATTTCGGCCGCTCTCCAGCACCATTTCGAAAAGATCCGGCCGTAAACCCTTCCACCAAGTTCGAGCTATCCAAAACCCGGGCGAGATTAATCTCCAACAATCCCGGGCATATAAGCTCTACAATTCCAGCCGCCAACTCCAGCTACCTTCGACTTGCCCAGCTACGTCTCGCAAGGCCCAGTTTTTTCTCGACCGTGCCCAGCCGTTTTGCAAGCCTAGCTTCGACAACGAATCCCGGCCGCACCTTCAGCTCCAGCCCAGATGTGGCGGATTTTTTGACAGCCCCAAACATTGCCCCCCGATTTGTTAAGCTCGGAATTGGTGCAGAGGTAAGCAAATCGAAACCCAAGACCTTTCAATTTCTGAAATTTGAGATTTTTCTTTTTTGCTTGCCTTGCACGTTATTAAATTTTGAATCGGGTAGGAATTTAGGAAGACACCAATTAAATTGGTGGGACCTTTGAACTTCCTATCCATTAAAAACCCTAGATATTTCAAATACCCAAGTGTTCTCTTTCATTTTCACATAACCACTTCCACCATAGCTATAGGCTTTTAGAAGGTTTTCTCGAAACCCATATCCTCTCCATCTTCACATTCATCATTTCACACACCAAATCCACCCGAATCAACGTCAAACTTGAAATTTGAAAGTTTCTAGGTACGTTGCACTAATTCTTGGTTAATTTTGGTATGATTTTGATGCATCTATAGCCTTCAAAAGTTTAGACTTGAAACTTTGAATATGTGAATAGTGCCATGATGTTCTTCGTGTTCTTGATTCAAATCTTGTTTGCTTCACTATATTTTTCTTTGATTCGATTTTATACCATGTTTGTAGGATGGAATCTATTCCAAGTGATAGTGGCCAATTTTTTGAAGATATGAAAGTGGCCATGGAAAAAGACTTGGGAAAGCAAGTGTTTGCCTACTTTCTCAATGCCTTTCCCAACTCCGCCCAATATATTCTTGGCCCATTTTTCTCTGCCTATCCGGAGGAGGTGGCCAAAGTGTGGGTGAAGCAACCAAGAAGTGGCCCAACGTATTTTTCAGACTTCACATGGGCATCCGTTTGGGAGAGCACCAAGCCATTTGAAGGTTGGCCGATTGGAACCCCCCTCAAATCGGATCCCATCGCAACAAAAGAGGACCCATCAAAGAAAGCATCATCCGCCTCCGAGAAGCCCGACCACTCAAGCTCGGCGGATGGCAAGTTTGATTGGTATCAATGGTTCAAGGCATTGGAACGAAAATTGAAGGGTCATTGGAAGAAAATTGGGATTTATGATACATTGCTCCTATGTGCGGGAAGCCCATTTCCTTGCGACAGATCTCTCATTATTGCGGCCCTATGCTTTTGGTCTTCCTCCACCAATTGCATGAGGCTCCGTTTTGGGATGATGACGCCCAACTTGCTAGACTTGGCCGTTATTGCTGGCCTCCACCCTCATGGAGAGGATTTCTCGGCCGCCAACATTCCGGATGGCAAAGTGGGCTTAGATTTTCACAAGTCAAACAAGACCTCCGGGAGCTGGGTGAAGACATATCTTGGCCATGGCTGAGATCCCACCCACCCTCCTTCCATCAATGGCGTATCCTACACTGAGCATGTGGCTTTCCTTGTGATGTGGTTGTGCAAGTTCTTGGCATGCCCAAAATTCGGCAGGATCACAAAGGAATTTCAAGCCTTGGCGGAGGTACTTGCGGATGGCCATCAAGTGGCCATGGGCCCAATCTTTCTTGCCTATCTTTATAAAGGGCTCCATGAGGTAACCACTAAACCCATGGATTATCACGCTTCTGACCCTATATGGATTTTTCAATTGTGGCTTCAGCTATATTTTCCGGAATTAAGTCCCACCACCGTTTGCCCAAACGATAAAGCGCTTTGGGGTCCACCCTTGCTCAACGCCCCACGCCGGAAGCATTATGTTGAGGATTGCTTCCGATTTTTCTATGAGTGCCTGGAGAAGACTATGGAGCATCTCTCGATTTGCCTAGATCACCGTTTCCCGGATTATCTAGCCTTGGATCTTTCCTCATATCCCACGGCGGAGACAAAAGATGAGAGACATAATATGTGGGTGAGCATCCTCATCAGCCGTGATCTTCCATATGGCCTAATGGTGAACAAAGGTAGCAACTATCATTGTGGTGATGAGCTTTATTATCCCGTCGCCGCCGGCTACCTGCTTGGTTTTATACAGAGCATCCCTATACCACCCATGGATTCCTTCAACTTGCTTTCCTCTTGGTGGGTGAAATTTAAAGATGCAAAAGAAGTCACCACCTTGACGGATTTGAACCAAGACTTGGTGAAATCCTTCAGTATTCCGATTAGAGATCTTCGGTTTGGTGACTCTAACATCTTTATCCATTGGTGGAAAGAAATGTCGGCCAGTTGGTTTTCTCAACCATGCTCAGAGATTGAGGATAGGATCTTTAGGTATTGCCCATGCTCATTGGCCTTTCAACGAGAGAAAGAGAAGAAGAAGGCCCAAGCAAAAGGTAAAATATTTGCACTTTCTTCCTATTTAATTTTTTAGCTATCTTTCTTTTTCCTAACCCTTCAAATCTCATAGTTGACATCACCGAGAAGGAAAATCCGCCCGCCGACATTATTGAGACAGAGCGCTCGGCCAAATTTGCCAATGCAAATTCTGGGCGGGGCGAGAAAAGGCCCAACGCCCCCATCCAAGGTAAGCTATCCTCCATGATTATTTTTACCCTTTTAAATATTTGCACTTCTAGCTTTCTGAATTCTTGATGGGCACATTTAAAAGCTTAAAACTTCAACTTTTTAGGAGATAGCCCCGCCGGAAATATTTTGCCCTCTCAAACATTCCTACGGCCAAACCTTAGGGTGAAAGGTTCCGCGGAACTTTTCTGGGCCGAAGGAATGTTTGAGAGGGCAAAATATTTCCGGCGGGGCTATCTCCTAAAAAGTTGGAGTTTTAAGCTTTTAAATGTGCCCATCAAGAATTCAGAAAGCTAGAAGTGTAAATATTTAAAAGGGCAAAAATAATCATGGAGGATAGCTTACCTTGGATGGGGGCGTTGGGCCTTTTCTCGCCCCGCCCAGAATTTGCATTGGCAGATTTGGCTGAGCTCTCTCTCTTAATAATGTCGGCGGGAGGATTTTCCTTCTCGGCGGTGTCAGCTATGAGATTTGAAAGGTTAGGAAAAAGAAAGATAGCCAAAAAATTAAATAGGAAGAAAGTGCAAATATTTTACCTTTTGCTTGGGTCTTCTTCTTCTCTTTCTCTTGTTGAAATGCCAATGAGCATGGGCAATACCTAAAGATCCTATCCTCAATCTCTGAGCATGGTTGAGAAAACCAACCGGCCGACATTTCTTTCCACCAATGGATAAAGATGTTAGAGTCACCAAATCGAGGATCTCTAATCGGAATACTGAAGGATTTCACCAAGTCTTGATTCAAATCCGTCAAGGTGGTGACTTCTTTTGCATCTTTAAATTCCACCTGCTAAGAGGAAAGCAGGTTGACGGAATCCATGGGTGGTATAGGGATGCTCTGTATAAAACCAAGCTGGTAACCGACAGCAGCGGGATAATAAAGCTCACCACCACAATGATAGTTTCTACCTTTGTTCACCATTAGGCCATATGGAAGATCACGGCTGATGAGGATGCTCGCCCACATATTATGTCTCTCATCTTTTGTCTCCGCCGTGGGATATGAGGAAAGATCCAGGGCAAGATAATCCGGGAAACAGTGATCTAGGCAAATGGAGAGATGCTCCCTAATCCTCTCCTGGCACTCATAGAAAAATTGGAAGCAATCCTCAACATAATGCTTCCGGCATGGGGCGTTGAGCAGAGGTGGACCTAAAAGCGCTTTATCGTTTGGGCAAACGGTGGTGGGACTTAATTCTGGAAAATATAGCTGAAGCCACAATTAAAAAAATCTATATAGGGCCAGAAGCATGATAATCCATGGGTTTAGTGGTTACCTCATGGAGCCCTCTATAAAGATAGGCAAGAAAGATTGGGCCCATGGCCACTTGATGGCCATCCGCAAGTACATCTGCTAAGGCTTGAAATTCCTTTGTGATCCCGCCGGATTTTGGGCATGCCAAGAACTTGCACAACCATATCACAAGGAAAGCCACATGCTCAGTGTAGGATACGCCATTGATGGAAGGAGGGTCGGTGGGATCTCCGCCATGGCCAAGATATGTCTTCACCCAGCTCTCGGAGGTCTTGTTTGACTTGTGAAAATCTAAGCCCTTCTTGGCTTCTGGAAGGTTGGCGGCCGAGAAATCATCTCCATGAGGGCGAAAGTCGGCGATAGCGGCCAAGTCTAGCAAGTTAGGCATCATCATCCCAAAACGAAGCCTCATGCAATTGGTGGAGGAAGATCAAAAGCATAGGGCCGCAATGATGAGAGAGCGATTGCAAGGAAATGGGCTTCCCGCACATAGGAGCAATGTATCATAAATCCCAATTTTCTTCCAATGGCCCTTCAATTTTGGTTCCAACGCCTTGAACCAATGACACCAATCAAACTTGCCATATGCCAAGCTTGAGTTGTCGAGCTTCCCGGCGGCAAATGAAGCTTTCTTTGATGGGGCCTCTTTAGTTGCGGTGGGATCCAGTTTGAGGAGGGTTCCCGTTGGCCAACCTTTGAATGGCTTGGTGCTCTCCCAAACGGGCGCCCATGTGAAGTTTGAAAAATAAGTTGGGCCACTTCTTGGCTGCGTCACCCACACCTTGGCCACCTCCTCCGGATAGGCGGAGAAAAATGGGCCAAGAATATATTGGGCGGAGTTGGGAAAGGCATTGAGAAAGTAGGAAAATACTTGCTTGCCCAAGTCTTTTTCCATGGCCACTTTCATATCTTCAAAAAATTGGCCACTATCACTTGGAATAGATTCCATCCTACAAACATGGTGTAAAATCGAATCAAAGAAAAATATAGTGAAGCAAACAAGATTCGAATCACGAACACAAAGAACATCATGGCACTCTTCACATATTCAAAGTTTCAAGTCTAAACTTTTGAAGGCTATAGATGCATCAAAATCATACCAAAATTAACCAAGAATTAGTGCAACGTACCTAGAAACTTGCAAATTTCAAGTTTGATGTTGATTCGGGTGGATTTGGTGTGTGAAATGATGAATGTGCAGATGGAGAGGATATGGGTTTTGAGAAAACCTTCTAAAAGCCTATAGCTATGGTGGAAGTGTTTATGTGAAAATGAAATAGACCTCTTGGATATTTGTAATATCTAGGGTTTTTAACGGATAAGAAGTTCAAAAGTCCCTCTAATTTAATTGGTGTCTTCCTAAATTCCTACCCGATTCAAAATTCAATAACGTGCAAGGCAAGCAAAAATGAAAAATCTCAAATTTCAGAAATTGGAAAGTTTTGGGTTTCAATTTGCTTACCTCTACACCAATTCCGAGCTAAACTAATCGGGGGGCAATGTTTGGGGGTGGAAGAAATCTACCTAATTCGGGCGTGAGAATCGGCCGGGCGTGATGAATATGCAGCTGGGCACAATTTCGCAGCCGGGCCTCTCAAATGCAAAACTGGGCAGCAAGGCGGCTGGGCAAGGCCAGAGAAGATGGGCCTTGCGGGATGCGATTGGGCGGCTCGAGAAGCTGGGCACGGCCAGTTTGGAAGGAGGTTCGCGGTCGAGGAGCTGGCTGGGCAGATCCGGAAAATTACGGCCGGGTGTTATTGAATGAATGTATACGACCGGGGCAAGGAGCTGGAAAATACGGTCGGGCGAGGATATTGCGGTCGGGATTTTTGAGCAGACAGGGCACGGGAATTTGAAGTGGCCGGGGATGTCCAAGAAATAAGGCAGCCGGGTTTTTTGTGATTTGAATCTACAAGCTGGAGTGATGGAGGTAGATCTGCTGGGCCATACTTGAATATGGTTGGAAGCTCAAACGTGGATGAGTTATTGAACTTGGTGGTCAGTATTTAAGTCCCTTGCGGCTGGGTGAATGCGGCTGGAGCTGTGTTGGTTTTCAAAATTGGGGGCTGAAGGGTTTGCATGATAATACAATATATATATATATATATATATGTAAATTCAATTGGGACTTTGGATTTGTTGCAAGTGTGTGGCTGGGCCTCAAGTTTTAGGCCTTCCATGTCTTGTTTCATGATAAGATAATATATATTATATATATGGATAAGTAAATAAGGAACCTGTTGGGCACGGCCAGGCTCATTAAATTGAAGCCCTCCATTGTGACATTACATTGCATATAATAATATCATTATATATATAATATTTGTATGCATATATAAGTATGTGTATATTTGTAGACGAAGGAATCCGTTGGGCACGGCCAGGCTCTCAAATTGAAGCCCTTCCCATCCTATTTTATATTAATACACATATATATATATATTTAGAATTTAATATATTATGTGGATGGCAATGTAAGAGAAATCGGATGCCCAAGTTTAAGCCATCTATTCACGTCCAGATTTTCGGAAGATTATGTGCATGTGACGGAGGCCTCACAAGGAAAGAAATCAAGAGATTTGATAGTAACTCCGAGTGTTCCAAAGTAAGGAAGAATCAAGCATGTCAGAATATCAATGCAATCCTACGGATATTGAGGGGGGCTTCAAAATGAAAGATTTTTTAGAAGGGTTAACCTTTGGCCATTCAATGGCTAGCCCATGGGCTGACGAGTGCCCTATATAAACCTTGCTCCATGAAGACATCAGACAAACAAACCTATCTTTCGTCTTGCACTTTTCTTTTCCTAGAATTAGGATTTTATTTTTCAAGCACCTAGTGTAGTGAGTTCTTCATATTTCTAGTGTAAGTTTATATTTTCCCTGTCATTTAAATTCTTGTTCGATTTATATTTCTTATCATTTCAATTCAAGTTTATTTCGATTCCTTTACATTTAATTGTTATCGCACTTCGATTAAATTTAATTTCAAGTTTATTTCCTTTTCGTTCTTATCGTTCTTATCGCTTTTATTTCATTCTTGCTTTATCTATCGCTTTGATTTATTTTATCGCATTTCAATTCTTGTCTTTATGTTTATACGCATATTTAGTTTAATTGCATTATTTTTACTTAAACCATAAAAATCACAAAAACATCCGTACGAAACCTAACCATTCTCAAGCCCGAGAAAGTGAAAGAATCTAGGCCAAGAAGAGGTTCCTTGCTTGGCCGATCAATCGTTTGGTCAGAAGTTAGAAGCGCAACACAATTCCATTCAAGCCCAATTTCGGGGCTTGGTGGTGGCACGCCCCGCATCCAAAAGTTCCCTTCGTCGGCAGCCCCGGCCGAAAAGAGGGAAACAATTCTTTAATACAAATAACAATTAACATAGTTGCCACCGCTGGGGTTGGGTTGTGGAGGATAGGGGTTGCCGCCGTTAGGCTTGGGAGGTGGTCATGTGATGGGTGGCTATTGAACTTCGATGGGTGGGTACTTGGATTTTTTTTTTAACTTCAATTTCTTTTGTCAAACATGTACTTTAATTATTATTTTTAAATAAGGGGATGAAGAGAGTTAACAGAGTTAAAATAGTGTTAAGCTGTGTGCCACATGTCACAAAACTAAGGAGAAAACAAAGGGCACAAAAAATTTGGTAACAGAAAAATTGGACTCTTCTGGTTTGAGAGAAAGAAAAATAGATTTTCTCAAAAAATCTTTTGAAATTCATATCTTTAGTTCTAGAGATCAAATTGTGGAACCGTTTTCACCTATCTGATCATGAGAACAAACCCTACAATCTAAGGTAAATTTTGAAGGCTTTCATACAAATTTTGAAATTTCTACAATAGTGGACTTTTTATGATTTCAATTTCAAGTTCATATTTTGAAGTTAGGTTGTAGTCCTCGTTATAATGAGCACGGTGGTGTGCTCGAAAGTGCGAGATCCGTAGTTTGACCAATGATTTATGCATTGCAAACTCTTGACTATTAGATCGGATTACTGGATCATGTCCAATTTTATGTATGTAGTAGTTTGTATTGTTGTGAGTCTGTAGGTTCACGTGGACCCTAAGTTATCGTGCCTAATCATGCGATCTAGAATGATCCGATTGTCTGATCAGACCCAAATTGATGCCAGTAGATGTCGGGCCTATTTAGAGTCCATTGGTGCAACCGTATGCGAAATCCGAGGTTGTGGGCCTGATGCATATTTTTGGAGCATCATGTTGCCGTGTGGGGCCTATGGGACGCAAATAGTGACTTTTTGGACAATTGGAGATGTTTGTCCTATTTTGATGCCGACAATGCGTATGTCATAATTTTGGATTTGTTTGGATGAGATTTGATCACTTTGGACCCTGGGTTAATTCGAAGGGCATTTTCATCATTTGGATGCGGAATCTTGGATTTGCGCAAGGTTGAGGATAAGGTTGAAGACGTGGTTGGTCGTGATATTTTTGGAATTGTCAGTGACTTTCGGGAGTCACATGTGAGGTGCATTTCGAGTGACGTGTGCCTCGATTTGCATGCTAGTGCACGATGAGATGAGTTGGGAGCTCTTTTTTCTTTTTCTTTTTTGGAGTTTTGTTCTAAGTTGAAATACGTACTTTGAGTCTGTATTGACATTGTAGTTTGGAATATGTTGTACTGTATTATGGAAAGAAAAAAAATTCATGGTACATTTGTTGAAGATTCCAAGCTTCACATCCTGTATCGGTTTGTTTGTAATAACTCGAGGGTTATTTTTTGTTGAAAATTTGAGGGCTATTAAAAATTTATATTTTTACTTTTGGAACACTCGCAACTCACACATTCTCAAAGCCTATTCTACAGCTTTGACAATTTTAGTTAAAATGGACGTCTAGAGAAACTACGCGTCATTGGACCTCTGCTGATGGTGTTTATCATATTAATTTGCCGATTTGGAACTTGGGAAAGTATCTATTGTAGCCCTGCGATGTAATGGTCTAGCTTGCATTCCTGAATAAGGCGCTCAATAATCTTCCTCAGACTTATGCATTGTTTAGTATTGTAGCTATTATGCTGGTGGTATTGGTAGAATTTGCCGGTATCCCTGTTGTCCAGCCGATTAGGCTTTTACTTGGCCAGTTGAGGGATGATCTCTTGTTCGTTCATGATAACAACTTCATATGAAGTATTGAGCAAAGTAAAGACTTCCTGCCCTGGGTCATGATTCAATAACGGTCCTCGGTGATTGTCGCAATTATATTTCCTCTTGCTCCTCTTATAGTTTTCATGCCGAGGATGGGAGTCATCTTTATGTTTATGGGTGGGCTAATACCTGCTAGATTTATCAGCAGCTGTATATGGGAGTTTTTGTGCCGAGAAATTCTGTTGCTTGATTCCTCTTGCCGAGCCGAAGGCCCGGTCTTCGAGTTAAAGTACTATGCTTTTTCATCATTCATTAACTTATCATAAGTACGCCAATTACTACTATGCACTATGTACCGAAAATGAGATGATCGAAGGCCGCTCTTGAAGGCGCCGAAGGCTGGCTGATCGTCAATTTTCAGGATCGAGAGTAGTCATGGCTGAACCATGCGGCGAATTCTCGTAAAGGCTTATCATCTTGTTGCCAAAGGGCATGCAAATCGTTGTTCGAGTATAAACGGTCCATCTGGATCATGAAATGGTTAAGGAAAATTTGTTTCAACTCATCAAAGGAATCCACCATACTTGGCTCCAACCAAAAAACCAGTTGAGTGCTGCTCTGGTGAGTGGAGATGGAAACAGAATGCATTGCCCTTCATCACTGCGGTGAGTAAGAAAACTGAATTACGAATCCTTCAAATAAGATCCAACTAACTTAAGATGCTAAGTAAAATCATCTTATAAAAGTTCCAAATATGTGCCAAAAGGATTACAATTATCGGGTTAATATGAGGACCAACTTTTGCACGATCATCAAGATTGGTAGCAGACAAAACTTGTACCTCTTCAAGCCCGAGTTGTTTCTTAATCAAGTTTATGTTCTCTTCAAGTACCTGAACCTCTCCAAATGGTAACTTCATATCTAAGGCCTGAGCTCCAAGTTGAACTGCGTCCTTCTTCTTCAACTTCACGAAAGGTATGCAAAGATTCTGGATTTGTCTTAATCCTTTGGCCTGTCCGAGAGAACTACTCTGCAATGCCTTTAATATCACCTTGTCCGGAGCAAAAGTACAACTCTCTACGTTAAAGTTATTCTGGAGTATCCTCAAGCACTCTGCTTTCCACTCATCAAATTGCTCCTTCACATATATCAGGGCTATTAGCTTCTTGCCTTGTACCAAAGATGTAACTGGAGCACCGTTCTTATCAACTTTATCTAAATTTGACTTGTACTTTTCAAGCTTCTTCCTCATTACATCAATTGAGCCTTTCAAATACTTATTGGCACTCTGGAGGATTGGACCTGGTGCATTAGCTGTAGGCCAGCCTGCATTTACCACAAACCCACCCTTCTTCAAAAGCTCCCTCCATATATATTCAGCATAGTGTGGACAGATTGTACCATTCCCTGGCTGTTTGAAGACCATAAAAGCCAGTCGTAAGGGCTTCTCGGAACATGCAAGCTTGGTAATTCTGTTCAGTCCTTTTCACAGTGATATTTATTTCATTCAAAAACACCCGGTTAACGGAAGTGCAATGGCACAACCGCAATTTTTTCAAAGTCAGATTTTTTTTTTAAAACGAGGTCAGCCTTTCTCTCTCTCGCATCTTCTCTCTCCTTCATCAGTTGCTTTGTCATGATCTGCCCTAGGCTACCCATCAAATGGAGAGTAGATCACGTGACATTTAGCTTTCACAACATTATCCATGTCTTTCAATTTCCTCATCTGCCACCCCACGAACTTATCAAAATATGGGTTCCTGTCTGTA